CTATGAGGTCCTGGGGCCTTGAACAGCAGTAACATTTATTAGCACCTACTAAGTACCAGGCACTTGAAGTACAGTTCCTTAATTAATTGTCTATGCATAAGATTTGCTTAGGCATTTTTTTTTTTTAAACTCTTGTTTCTATTTCTGGAAGTTTTTTTTTTTTTTTTAAAGATTTTATTTATTTATGCATGAGAGAGAGAGAGAGAGAGGGAGAAGCAAGCTCCATGCAGGGAGCCCGACATGGGACTCAATCCTGGGTCTCCAGGATCAGGCCTTGGGCTGAAGGCAGCGCTAAACCGCTGAGCCACCGGGCTGCCCTATTTCTGGAAGTTTCTTTAGTGTTCTTGGATCTGGAGAGCAATAATTGATCACTTCTTGCTCTCAGTCTGCTGTTTACCACAGGACCACCTGCTTCTAGTTGACTGTTGTTGAGCTGTGGGGAGATTTGGGTAACCAGACTTGTTGGTATTATTATTAAAATCCCTCCCCTTACATGTTGGTGGCCTCCCTGTTGTTGCCAGATAAGATGCTTGGGAGGGGAAACATTTTGGAGTTCCCTCCATCAGTTGCTGTTTGGAGAGGCAGGCCCCTCACCTACCCTCCTCATGGCCTCTGAAGAGCAGGAGGCCACTTCTGATAGCCAGTGGCACTTGTCTTCCTTTAGTTAGGACACAGGCCATATGTCAGTCATGCCTTAGGGTGATCGGTGGCTGTGGGAAGTCACGTGGCTAGCTGTGAGTGACCTGACACAATCCCTTCAAGCCTGCCGAGGGAATTAAGTACTTCTGTGGTTTGGGAGCCCTTGGCTTTGACCTTTTGCAATTTATTGAGAAACCAAGTCAAGTCACAGGACTTAAAGTGATTGGAAACTCCATGCTCAATTTCCCTTTAAAATGTTTGGTTCTGGGCAGCCCCGGTAGCTCAGCGGTTTAGCGCCGCCTTCAGTCCAGGTCGTGATCCTGGAGACCCAGGATCGAGTCCCATTGTCGGGCTTCCTGCATGGAGCCTGCTTCTCCCTCTGCCTGTGTCTCTGCCCCCTCTCTCTCTGTGTCTTGAATGAATGAATAAATAAAATCTTTTTTTAAAAAATAAATAAAAATAAAAATAAAAATAAAATGTTTGGTTCTTACAGGGTAAGCAATAAAGAAAACATTTAAAAAGCCATCTTCAGAGTCAATAAACATAAACAGACATTAACAAAGCAGGGTCTAGGCCTGGAATCATTCAGGCCTCTGGGCTCGTGATGTGTGGGTTCAATGAAAAAAATGTCAAGAGCCTTAGCAAGGTTATCAGTTTTCATCATTAGAACACTTGACAAGAGTTCATGCTTCTCCCTCTCCCTCTGCAGCTTTCCCCTGCTTGTGCTCTCTCTCTGTCAAATAAACATAAAATCTTTAAAAAAAAAAAAAAAAAGAAAGTCATAATCTGAGCCTATGAGGTCCACATCTAGGTAGGGTCCCAGCTCCTGGCTTGGCTTTCTTTGAGTACAAATTGGTTTTCCCCCCTGGGGTCACTTTTTCTATTTCTAGTTCCTCAGTGGTCAGTGAAGCCAGTGGTCCTGGGCCACTAAAACAAAGAGCTACACCTGGAGAAGGTTGTCCCCTTCACCTTCACTGTAGGGAAGCTCTGGGAGTAGCCAGTGGGAAGGGGTTTGCCTTGGAAACGTCCTCTTCTCCTTCAGCTCTGACAATTCACTTTGCATTAACTGATGTATAAAGTCAAGGAAGGGCAGCCCCAGTGGTGCAGCGGTTTAGTGCCACCTGCAGCCTGGGGTGTGATCCTGGAGACCCCAGATCGAGTCCCACATCAGGCTCCCTGCATGGAGCCTGCTTCTCCCTCTGCCTGTGTCTCTGCCTCTCTCTCTCTCTCTGAATAAATAAAAATAAAAATCTTAAAAAAAAAAAAAGTCAAGGAAAACCTTGGGTGTGGAGTCAGGTGACCAGGATTCCAGACCTGGTTCCGACATGTGCTGGAGAGTCCTGGGCTCCTATTTTATGTGACTCTCCATTTTCTGATCTATCAAAAGGCTGGGTTGTGATTTCTATATAACAGGTTTTGATGGCAAGCAAGACAAACTATTTCTGGCTAATTTAAATAAAAAGAGATTCTAGGGGTGCCTGGGTGGCTCAGGGCGTGATCCCGGGGTCCCTGGATTGAGTCCCACATCCAGCTCCCTGAAGGGAGCCTGCTTCTCCCTCTGCCTGTGTCTCTGCCTCTATCTCTGTGTCTCTCATGAATAAATAAATTAAATCTTTAAAAAAAAATTTTTTTTAAAGGACTTTATTTGAAGGCTATAAAGTGGGTTACAGACTCCATGGGGCAGGATGGAGAGCAGCTCTAAAGGTCCAAGTCACAGGTGTGCATGGCTCCTCTCATCCCATGTGCACCCCTGCCAGAGGAAGCTGTCTTTTTCCTGGGTTTTCCATCTTGAGGCTCTGTGCTCAGAATCAGAGGCCGAGTTAAGGGAACCATCGAGCATGGGTCCCTCACCACTGCCCAGTGCAGGGGAGGAAGGAAAACAGGGCTCTGAGAGGCAGAAAAGTAAATGAATGGGTGTCAGACCACTGAAGTCTGCAGCCCCTGCTGCAGGCATGTTTGACACTACATACGTCCTCTATTAGGTTTTGTACTCATTTCTTGTAACTGGAAGTGTATATAATTTTTCTTTCTCTCTCTCCTATTTAGCCTTTGTTAGAGGCATTCTTGGGTTTCATCCTGCAGATGTTTTTAAAGTACTTATTAAGGAGGCTGTGTGATACAGTAGGAAGAGCACTGACTCCTGTAATGCTCATCTGTGCCCTGTGTCCCCATCTATAAAAGTGAGACAAAAATGCTTGCTCCAGGGGATCCCTGGGTGGCTCAGCAGTTTAGCGCCTGCCTTTGGCCCAGGGCGTGATCCTGGGTCCCAAGATCGAGTCCCACGTAGGGCTCCTGTCATGGAGCCTGCTTCTCCCTCTGCCTGTGTCTCTGCCTCTTTCTCTTTCTCTCTCTGTGTATCTATCATGAATATATAAATTAAAAAATCTTAAAAAAAAATGCTTGCTCCATCTGTGCCACACCCTTGCTGTAAGGACTAAATGAAATCATGTGGTTAAACCCTTTGAGGAGCTGTGCAGGGTCAGATATTTATTTATTTATTTATTGTGCATAGCTTGGTGCTTAATGATAAAGAGCAAAGACATCTATTTTGATGCATCTATACATTTGCTATTTGCTTATTGATTTTTATCTTAAATTCTAGAAATTGAGGTATACGAGTTTCATAAGCTTGCCTACAGTCTACCCGAGGTGTCCAGATAATTCCTTCATCACAATCTGAATGATGTCACTAAGCACAGTAGTGCCAAAGACACGGTAGGGACAGCCTGCTCTGCAGGTGTTCAAGGGTGTGTGGCTGTGGTCAGGAAATGCTTAGAGGAGGTGGTAGGTTTATACCTTTGTCAGGATATTAATCAGCTTGTCCAGTAGAAATACACTGTGAATCACATATGTAATTTAAGATTTTTCTAGTAGCCACATCAAAAACAAAGCAAAAGAAATAGGTGCAATTAATATGAATAATATATTTTTATTTTACCCGTTATACTTAAAAGCATATAATCATTCCAAAGCATATAATTGTCAATATAAAAAATTAAGGAAATGTTTCACATTCCTTTTTTCTTGCTGTTTTGAAATCTGTGTGTTTTACCCTTACAACACATCTCAGTTCTGATTAGCCACAGTTCAAGCATCTAGGAGACACGTGGCTATCAGGTCAGATGCTCAGCCCTGGATAGAACAGAAAGAAAAGGTGAGGAGCAGAGGGACAGAAGCAGTAGACACTGGATTTAGTGAACATTTACTATGGACCAGGCAGGACCAGGACTAGTGTAAGCCGTTGGATGAACAAACTATCAGATCCTGTTTCTATTTAGAATTTTGGTATTTTGTTCATCATGAATGTTTTTGCATTGATTTTTATTTTAAAAAACGCATTGCAATATGATTTACCTTCATTCCAGAGTGTTCTGGCACTCCTTATACTTTGCATACAAGGTGAGCCGCCCCCTTCCCCCCCCAGGGAGGCCCTGGCCTCAGGCCTTTTCTGTGAACTTCCTAAAACCTCATCTGGAGGCCTGAACCTGAACCAAACTGAACTGTATATCACAAACGGGAGCAAACTCCTCTAATTTACTAATAAGCTTTGGGCATTTATTTTGTTAAATGTTTCAGCTAAATTCAAGTTAGAAATAAAAAGACTTGGGGCACCTGGGGGGCTAAGTGGTTGAGTGTCTGTCTTTCTGCTCAGGTTGTGATCTCCGGGTCCTGGGATCGAGTCCCACATCGGTCTCCCTGCATGGAGCCTGCCTCTCCCTCTGCCTATGTCTCTGCCACTCTGTGTCTCTCCTGAATAAATAAATAAAAATTTATTTAAAAAAAAGAAAAAGACTTTGGAAAATAAATCGAAATTCAGACTGCATCTATGAACTGAAAAGTCTGAAAATATTTCAGGAGCAAACTGTAACTCAGCAGAGCATTCATTGGCTTTGATTTCCTGGTCAAGGTGACCCTGGACCATCATATGTCCACCACCACCCCGCCCACCCCACCCCCCACCCCCATAGAAGAAAATAATGAAAAAGACAGTGTTTTTTTTTTTTTCAAAGATTTTATTTATTTATTCATGAGACACACACACACACACACACACACACACACAGAGAGAGAGAGAGGAAGAGACGCAGAGGGAGAAGCAGACTCCCCGCTGAGCAGGGAGCCCAACGTGGGGTTTCACCCCAAGACCTTAGGATCATGACCTGAGCCCAAGGCAGACGCTTAACCAACTGAGTCTCCCAGGTGCATAGTCTCCAGTGTTTAAGGGAGTGGTATCAGCAGGCTCTCTTATAATGGTTATAGTGAGAATGCTGTATTGGAAATAGCTTCAATGCTAAAAGAGAGGTCAAGTATTGCTTTTTAAAGTGGTGCCTATTTTCAAACAATCCTTTTCTCTCTTTTAGGGAACTTAGAGACAAAGCAGATATTCAGTTTGGAGATAATGGAACAACCATATCAGCTGTTAGCAACAAGGCCTATGTTTTTGAACGAAATCAATCTGTTGGAGACCCTAAAACTGACTTAATTAGAACATTAAATATTCCTGCAGTGGTAAGTAGGCATTTTTTAGTATCATTACTATGGATTTCAGAAGAAAGGAAAAAGCTAAGTTAAGGCTGTTACAGTTTTACATTCAGGAGTTATTAAGTTACATTAAAAATATAGATACATTTGTACACTTCCCTTCCTTAGAGTTTATCTGAGACTCTTTTCTGAGATTTTTAAACAAGATCTTTTCAAATGGTGACATAATACAAGTTTTAGGATCACCCCCACCCCAAGTTTCTTGCTGTGTGTTTGGGATCAGCTCTTGTGTAAATAAATATATCCCTAGGATTTTTTTTTGAGGGGATGCAAGTGGGTAGCTAATAATTTTTTAAAGATTTATTTGCCCCTTGTTTTGGTTCACAAAGTCTAGCAACAAAATTTGCATACCACTTCTTGGTTTGGATTTCGATCTTACTAGATTTTTTATTTTTCAAAATATATACTGACTTTTTCACCCTTAACAAACCGCAGAGGCGGGGTGCTGATTACAGCCTAGCACGATTTCACTGAGCTCAGTTATAATGACAATCCCATCCAAGAAAGATGCAGGAGACCCAGAAAACTTCCCTATTCACCTACAGCAACCCCCTCTGAGGCTTCTGCTCTAACTCCTGGGTGACAATGACATATGCGCTGCACAGTTATGGTGGACTCAGGACTTAGAAATTACTAGATCCTAGATCTGGCCTGCCCTGCTGCCTACCCGTGCAGAGCTTAAAACGAGGGTACAGCCTCTGGCTCGGGTCATGGGGCCAGTGGTGCCATGTTGTGGCTGAAGATGCCAGTGTATCTACAAGAGTTTTTCTCATTGCATTTGCTCCGTGGAGAAAACTCAAGAGCTAGCTGCACTAGCTCAACTCACAATGCTGAACTCACACTTAAACAACATAATACTGAGAATGGGCAATAACTGAAGAGTCTTATTCTTGTACACGCAGCCAGGGAGGATCATTTCTGGCTGATTTTTCAGCTATATAGTTTTCACATTTACTTTTAAGTTTCCAAACCCTTTTTGCCAAAAGGGGCAGTAGTAGAGTGGGGTGGAGACTCTGCCATCTGAATGTGCCTGTGCTTCTCAGACTGCCATGGAATGGGCCCATCTTCGCTTCTTCCGGGAGCTCATCGAGGCGCTGTTGAAGGCCTATCAGCAGACGCTCTTTGTGACACACACTGTGGATGAATTGCTCTGGGGCTACAAAGATGAGATCTTGTCCCTCATCAACGTTTTCAAACCAGAGATCTCTCCCTATTTTGGCCTGTACTATGGGGTAAGTTGATTTTTCTTTTTGAAACCTCTTTATTCAGCTGATTGGGGGCGAGGGGAGGGCACTCCAAGCCACATTTCATCTTCACTTTGGATTTCTTCCAGAAGAAGACCAAAATTGCCTGGAATTCTGGATGTCTTGTAGAGTATGTGAAAACTAAGAAAGTGTTTTAGTTTTTAGGAAAAAAAAAAAAATAACCTTCTCCCACAATTTCAATATGCTACCAGCACTGACTTTGAATGAGAGCAGCTATGAAAAATACATAGAGTGTGGCTGTGCCATTAAACAGTTGCAGTCTTTCAAAGTATCATAAATTTCAGTGATCAATGCCAACTCTTCACTGATGACTTAGGGGCTGAACTTATGTATCAGCTTGACAGAGACAAATAAACTAAATAGGAACATTAGATCATCCATTAGGGGTAGTAGCTACATGGATAATTTGAAACTCCGTGTCATTCATCCATGATTTCTTATATTTATAAGTGGAACTTGTGTAGTTCGTAGATTTTATTCACTTTGGCTCAAAATAAAAAATATCAGCCATCAAGTAATTACTATTCAAAGCATATGTTATTGTTGCTTAAATTTCAAATGAATTGAAGTTAAAAGGAATTTTAAAAATCCACATTCCCTGATATCCCCCACCAAAACAAAATAAAACAAAAACTTTTTAAAAATGGGTAGTGGGGGGCAACCCTGGGGGCTTACTGGTTTGGCGCTGCCTTTGGTCCAGGGCGTGATCCTGGACACCTGGGATCGGGTCCCGCATCGGGCTCCCCACGTGGAGCCTGCTTCTCCCTCTGCCTCTGCCTCTGTCTCTCTCTTTCTCTCTCTGTGTCTCTTATGAATAAATGAATAAAATCTTTTAAAAAATAAAAATAAAATATAGAACGGGTAGTGGGACATTGGTAATGACAAACTTAAATGCCAAGAAGAAAGGGTGAGATTAATGGTAGAGTCTGAGTGATGAATTTCCTTAACTTTAAGTTTGTAGTTACTTTCTTGTTGTCACCACTTGAGAATCTCACCCTTATCCTATAATTTCTGAGCATGTTCCTCTATGTCTATGGCATATGGTGATAATACTGTCCTGTGTCTTCTAGGTGTATAAAAGTTAGACTCCATTCAAACAAAATAGTAAAAAAGTTTTTCATATGATTTATGCAAGAGGTGGGTCCTAGGAATAGGGGCTTGGCTTAGCCTGAATCCTTCACTCTGGGGGAGTGGACTTAATAGATGCTCCCTAGAAGATCCCATCTGAAAATATCCCAGCTTCCACAAGACCAGAGGAAGCACTGATTTCTTGTTAAGCTGTGACTAGACCTCCCTTCTTGAAAAAATTTCAAGAGAACTTCCAACAGAGACAACAAAGCTTTTAAAATATAATAATAATAATTATTATTATTATTTTAGAGAGGGAGGAGGGGAGGGGCAGAAGGAGAGGTAGAGAGAAATTCCCAAGGAGGCTCCATGGCCAGCATGGAGCCCGACTCAGGGCTCGATCTCACAACCCTGAGATCACAATCTGAGCGAAAATCAAGAGTCAGACGCTTAGCTAACTGAGCCACTCAGGCGCCCCAACAAAGTTTTCCTTAAGGCCATTTGGGTCCCAGTGGTTTCCATCCACCTGCCAGGTAGATCCTGTTCCTAAGATCTCAGTATATTTCAGGTTATTTCCATTGTATAGTTTGCTTTTCTGTTTTGTTTTGGTTTTATATCACTGACTTCATCAGACATAAAACTAACATTCTTTTATATCTTTTTTAAAATGTAACCCACATTTATGGACTGGTTAGGAAATTGGCATTTTTGCTTTCTCAAGGCAAGGATGTGTTGCTTTATGTATTTATTTATTTCTTCATTTCTCTGTCCTTGCCCTTTGCCACATTTTGTAGACACCACTATATCTCCATAGGGCCCCACTCGTGAAAAGCCCTGTCCCGTTGCTCGGTTGGATTTGTACCTTGGGTGGATTTCCCACAGCCAGGAATAGAGCATAAGACCTGAAATCAGAGGGCCTGGATTTATGTTCTGACTTTTTCACTTGATTAACTGTGGGACTATTTCTGAACCTTGGTTTCATTATGTGTGACTTGAGGCTAAAAGTATCCATGCTTCCAAAATTGTTTTGAAAGGCGAAGTGAGAAGTCCATAAAAAGGCTTTGGAAGCTATAAATCGCAGTACACATTTCAGGAGCTGCTATTTTTCCCCGAAGACTGGCCCCAGAGAAAACCCTGAAATCATGCAAATGGTCTTTCCATTTGGGACCCAAATAAACTGCCTGTGGTGTTGTTGGTAAAAAGGCAGTGTCTCTGGTCAGTTTGTCACCTGCTCTGGTCAAATACTGATTATTTAGCCAATAGCATGAAAATTCATGCTTGAGCTGCCATTCATTCAAAGACCAGGATAAGCTGTGAGGGTGCACACCTTCCTTGGCACCCATTTCGCTGCCCCTACCTGAGCCTGACCAAAAAATCCTTCCTTAAACCTGGTGGTGTGGTGCCAGCATCCCACTCGGATGCTCCAGGCTTGCGTGCCTGTCCTACCTGCTCCACTACAGATGACAAAGAGAGAAATTTTAGTGAATGCCATTGAGCACTTTTCCTTTAAAGACTCTAGTGATGAAACAAACAATGGGGAGGGACAAGATATGAGAATGAACAGGGTGAGTGAATGTAGAATAGTGGCACAGGACTTCTGAGAAGAAGGGACCTGGTTAAATATCAGATGCTCTTATTTTCATATTGCAGAGCCAATCAGCATTGATTTTAGGGCGCCTCTGTTCTTCTTGGCATAAGAGAGTTCAAGCACCTCCCACTGAGTGTGTATTCTTGGATCTATAAAATTTTAATTGTCAGGAAGTGTCTTTGGGAGGTCAGCAAGTCCAGCCTGTCCTTCAGGGGCAGAGGTGGGGATCATCTTACTTACAGTAGTGGTATGACTGTGGGAGTCCTAGCTCAGAGCACCTCTCCATCTCCTGCAGTAGTATGTTCTTTCTATCCAGCGCACATCCCTACCATGGGAACATAAAACCTATTTATTCCTGCTTGTCCTCAAGTAAGAGGTTCAACAAGACAGGGAAGCATTTACACACTGTGTCTGACTCTTGGGCAGAAAACAGTCGGACGGGGAGAACCCTTGTTGAATTACTGTGAAACGTTGAAATGTTTACCCACCTGGCTAAGCTCATATCTGAGTTAAGTGGAAGACTTCAGGAAATAGCATCCATTCATTTTTAAAATTGGTGGCTCAGCATTTTGTGTGTGGAGTATTTGAATTTTCCTTTAGTTGTTGTAATGTTCACATTGCTGCTCCTAAAGAGTTATTTCTTGTATCTTTAAGTCATGTAAAGCTTCATGCAGGGAACACATGACCATTATACATGTGGGCCATGTTGATATATTGACATAATTGGCAAGATAATGTTAAGTGACAGTAGGCAAAAAATATGAGAAGAGACTTCACAAAGGGTATGAATTTTTTTTTAAGGTTTTATTTATTTATTCATGAGAAACACACAGAGAGAGGCAGAGACACAGGCAGAGGGAGAAGCAGGCTCCCTGCAGGGAGCCAGATGTGGGACTCAATCCCAGGACCCTGGGATCATGCCTTGAGCCAAAGGCAGATGCTCAACCACTGAGCCACACAGTCACCCCAGGTAGGAATGTTAAGACAAAGAGCTGAATGATACGAAAAAAGCCTCAACCTCAGGGAATGTAGAAATGTAAAAAGAGATAAGAAACCTTTTTCTTTTTTTGGTTCATCTCTAATTAGATGAACCAGAGCTTAACAGAAGTCACTTGGGGAATGTAAACGGATTTACTCTACTATTTCCACCACTTAGCAGCTGAGCAGCAATTTGATAATATATATCAAAAGGCTTAAACATGTTGGTGTTCTTTTCTCTAGTCATTTTACTTTTATGGGTCTGTGTAGAAAACAAAAGGACTGACAAGGCTTTAGGCATAAGGATATTCATATAGTATCATTTGTAATACCAAAAAAATTAAAAATTAAATACCTAATAATAAGAGAATAATTAATTATTTCTACAGAATGTGATGGAGCCATTAAGCTACACTTATGAAGAACTTTTGGTAGCATGGGAAATATGTTAAGTAAAAAATTGTGTGTGTATAAATATATATATGCACAATTGTGTATATGCATAAAAATTGTGTGTATATATATTACACGTATATAATATATCTTAGTTCTAGAAACAAATGTTGTAGAGAAAAGAGACTGAAAAGAAACAGACCAAAGACTTTGGTCAATAGTTCCCATTGGCTAGAAGAATGATGAATAATGGGCACTTTTTAAAGAAAAATTTCATTTAATTATTTGAGAAAAAGAACAGGAGTAGTGGGAAGCAGCAGAGGTGGAAGGAGGAAGAAGCAGACTCTCTGCTGAAGCAGGGAGCCTGATGTGGGGTTTGATCCCAGGTTCCTGGCATCATGACCTGAGCCAAGGCAGACACAAAACCGACCGAGCCACACAGGTGCCCCTCAGCACTTTTTTTATACATCATTCTATATTTTCTAATGAGATTTTTACTTTTACAACCAAATGTATAATCAGAAGAAAAACCTATTCTAAAAATAGAGCAGAACACAAGTACTGTGCATCAACTTATTACCCCAAAATGCATGTTAATACCCAAAAACATATCTGTGACAAACTCCCAAAGATAGCTTAAAGCAATGGCAATAGAACAGTCTGGTTAGGGATCCCTGGGTGGCTCAGTGGTTGAACATCTGCCTTCAGTTCAGGGTGTGATCCCGGGTCCTGGGATCGAGTCCCACATCTGGTTCCCTGCAGGGAGCCTGCTTCTCCCTCTGCCTGTGTCTCTGCCTCTCTGTGTGTGTGTCTCATGAATAAATATATATATATATTTTTAAGAACAGCCTTTGGTTATTATTCTTAGCTTATCAACAAAGTGCCTGTCACATAATAAGCATTCACAGGCACGAAAACAATTATAATAGTAATAGTAATAGTAATAGTAATAGTAATAGTAATAGTAATAGTAATAGTAATAGTATGGATGCATCAGAAAGGCAGTCATTTGTGTCCACTTTGTTCACTGATCTACAGTGCTAGGCACATGGTAGGCATTCAGTAAGTGCTCGCTAATAGACAAATGAGTACCACACCCTGGCAAGCAGATCAGCCTGTGGAGTGTGGGGTTACAGAGCTGGGCTTCAGTCCTAGTTCCTACCATCTGCTGGTTGAGTCATCTGGGCAAGTCATTTAGACTTCTCTTTGCTTCAAATTTCTCATCTATAAAATGAGGATAAAATAGTGCTTGTCTATATTAGTTTCCTGTTGCTGCTGTAACAAATGGCCATAAATTAAGGGGCTTAACACAACCTAGATTTACTCTCTTAACAGTTCCAGCTGTCAGTAGTCCTAAAGTCAGGATGTGGTCAGGGCTGTGTTCCTTCTGGAGGCTCTCGGGAGCTTTAGATTGTCTGCATGTGCCTAAAAGCAGTGTGACTTGGAAAGCATATACAGGTGAAGAAAGCTTACTTGAAAATGGGGCTATAGGGACTATGGGGACACCTGGGTGGCTCAGTTGTTAAGCATCTGCATTTGGCTCAGGTTGTGATCCTGGGGTTTTGGAATCAAGTCCCGCATTGGGCTCCCCATGGGGAGCCTGCTCATTTCTCTGTCTCTCTCTCTCTGTGTCTCTCATGAGTAAATAAATACAATCTTTAAAAAAAAAAAGAAGAAAGAAAAGAAAATGGGACTATATTAATATTACTTTCTTCTGGTGCAGCTAATGCATAATAGAATCCTGGCCCTGGACTTAGGCTTTCTTATTTTTTATTATTGAGATAGAATTCACTTTCCATAAATTTCACCATTTTAAAGTGTACCAATCAGCAGTTTTTAGTATATTCACAAGGCTGTGCAACCACCACCACTATGTAATTTTAGAACATTTTCGTCATCCTCCAAAAAAAAAACCCCACATACTCAGTAGTCACTTCCATTTCTCCTCCTTCCAATAATCCACTTTCTGTCTCTATGGGGTTGCCTGTGAATCTATAGAATTTTTTTTAATAGTTAAAACATATGTGTCTTTTTTGTTTTTTTTTTTTTCGCTTTTGTAAAGAAAAGTAAGATTATACTTTTTGTTTGAAACAGAACATAAATAATCCCTCCATGCACCTGCCCAATGTCTCTCCTGCCCATTGGGGTGCTAGGACATCTGCTGCTGTGTAGGAGAGTCCAGGCTGGCCCCGGCTGAAAAAGGAGATGAGCCAGCACTCTCTGTGTGGGAGCTTCCTCAGAGCCAGAGAGGAAGGGGGTTTGGGAATGGAGCTTGGCTTAGCTAGGCAAAATTTAATATTAAAAAAACCTAGCAGACATGCCCACTCTACTGATAGGGGCCAAGAAACACCACCTCTGAGTTGGAACAATCTCTGGCAGTTGAACATTCCTATGCAACTTGGACATCTCTGTAGATGGAATCATAATATATGACCTTCATGTCTGACTTCTTTTATTTAGCATAATGTTTATCAGCCTCATCCATGTTGTAGGAGGTATCAGCACTTTATTCATTCTGTGGCCGAGTGATATTCTATTGTATGGATAGACCATACTTTATTCATCAGTTGATGGATACTTGGGTGGTTCTACTTTTTGGCTATTATGAATAATGCTGCTCTGAACATTTGTGTACAAGTGTTTGTATGGACATGGGCTATATACCTTGGAATGAAATCCTCTTGGGTATATAGGGAGGAGTGGAATTGAAGGTCATATGGTAATTCTGTGTTTAACATTTTGAGGAACCACCGAACTGTTTTCCATATCAACTGCAACATCCTCCATCTGTCCCTACCAGCAGTGCATGAAGGCTCGGATTTCTCCACATCCTCACCAATACTTGTTATTTTCCTTTTTTAGGATTTATTCATTTATTTTAGAGAGAGAGCATGAACAGGAGGGGCAGAGAGACAGGGAGAGAGAATCTCAAGCAGACTCCCTGCTGAGTGTGGAGCCTAAGGCAGGGCTTGATCTCATGACCTTGAGATCACAACCTGAGCCAAAACCAAGAGCTGGACCCTTACGCGACTGCACCACCCAGGCACCCTGTTTTTTTTTTTTTTTTTTTTTTTAACTCACCATCCTGGTGGGTGTGAAATAGTATTGTGGTTTTGATTTGCATTTCTCTAATGACGATGTTGAGCATCTTTTCGTGTACTTGTTGGCCATTTGAATATTTTCTTTAGAGAAATGTCTCTTCAAATCCTATGTCCATTATTTAATTGGGCTTCTTTTTAAAACCATAAAGTAATAATATGGTTAATATGGTATTTAGTCAAATAGTCACTGTATTCCTTTGTTCTGGTTCAGTTTTATGTAGCAGTTAGGCCCAACTAGGGTAGTTTCATGAAGATTAAGTTTCTTAGTTACTGTATCAGTTGGGGTTCTCCAGAAAAACAGAATCATTAGGAGATCTATATCTGAGGTATCTACCTGAGGGATTTATAGGCATTAAGAAATTGGCTCATGCAATGGTGGAGGTAGCAAGTGGCTAGTTTGAAATACATAAGACAGGGTGGCAGGCTAGAAACTCAGGCAGGATTTCTGTATTGCAGGATGAAGAATTCCCTTTTTGTCCAGCAAACCTCAGATTTTGTTTTTAATAACTAGGGGCACCTGGGTGGCTCAGATGGTTAAGCATCTGCCTTCGGCTCAGGTTATGATCTCCAGATCCTGGGCTCAAGCCTTGCATTAGGTTCCCTGTTCAGTGGGGAGCCTGTTTCTCTCTCTCCCTCTGCCTCTCCCCCTGCTTGTGCTCTGTCTCCACCCCCCACTCTCAAATTAATAAATTGAAAAAATCTTTAAAACCTTCAGCTGATGGGATGAGTCCACCCATATTACCCGGGGTAATCTCTTTTACTTAAAGTCAATTGATTGTAAATGTTAATCATATCTACAAAATACAGCAACATCTAGACTAGTGTTTGACCAAACAACTGGGCACCATAGCCTAGCCAAGTTGACACATACAATTAACAATCACAGTTTCTTAAAATGATTGTATTATTTTCAGAAAAATGGGACTAATGATGGAGACTATGTTTTTCTAACCGGAGAAGACAATTACCTTAACTTTTCAAAGATTGTGGAGTGGAATGGAAAAACGTAAGTGTAATGTTTTACCAATGTAATTATTTTTTAAATTTTTGTTTGAATTGAGTGTCCAATTATGTATTATTTCAAAAAATGTTAACTCATTTTTTGGATGAAAACTATAAATACATAAAATATCTTTATAACCACTATTGTATAAATCAAGATGGGGACAACACACTTTACATATTAAATACTAGTGCTTTGTAGACTGATCAGGGTTAGACATGAATTACAAGCAGTGAAAGTTTCACTTTCCACGTGGTCATTGAATGATGTGTAGCTACAGCACAGATACTTTAACACCACTTGTTTTGTGGGGAGAGGGAAGAGTTTCTCTTTTTAATTTAATTTACTGATTGTGAATTGTTCATGTATTTTTCTTTAAAGATAAAATTAATTTGAGTTCACTATATGGTATTTCAGAAATATTTTTTAACATTTATAACTTATAAACACCTACTTCCAAAAAGTTGCTGGGGCAGTTTACAGTAAAGCTTCATGTAAAACAAGACACTTTCTTTAAGTCAGAGGCTTTTGATAAAGACTTGGAGGGGAAAAAAGAGGGTAATTCTTGAACCCTTGTTCTTGAACCTTATTTACATCTAAATTTCCCAGAAGTATGGGCAAAAAACTGGTGTGGAATATAGGGGAACCCCCCCTGTACTACCTTTGCAACTTTTCTGTGAATCTCAAACTATTTTTAAGTAAAAGTTTATTTAAACTTTAAAAAGCACACATATCCATGTAAATAAATATATATTTGTGCATGTGTACACATACAAACACACATACACACACCAAAATAGATAAGATCCCCAAAAGAATATGTGAGAAGCTGGCAATAGTATTGCTTCTGGAGGGGCGCCCTGGATGACCAAGGCACTGGCCACAAGGAAATTTACTTGTAAACAGGATATAGCTGGATTTTTTTTTTTAATTATTTTGATGGGATGAGCACTGGGTGTTATACGTTAGCAAATCGAACTCCAATTAAAAATACACATAAAAATTGTATTTAAATTCAATTTGCCAACGTATAGTATAACACCGAGTACACATCTCATCAAGTACCCTCCTCAGTGCCTGTCACCCAGTTACTCCATCCCTCACCCTCCTCGCCTTCTGTTACCCTTTGTTTGTTTCCCAGAGTTAGGAGTCTCTTATGGTTTGTCTTCCTTTCTAATTTTTCCCCATTCAGTTTCCCATCTTCCCTTATGGTCTGGATTTTGTTTTAAACTCAACTGTCATTTTATTTCCAATCTTTCAATAACATAGTGTAATCTTTTTCAATATGTATTATAATTATTGATATAATTACAATATAATGATATAGTATTTAATATATTGGACTTTTTTTCTGATTTATGTCCGTTCCACCCTCAGATTTTTATGGTTCCCATTTAACAATATTTTCCTGACAAAATTAAAAGCTGCCTATTGTCTCTTCTTCTCCCAAACAGAACAATAACTTTACCAATTTCATAACACATTTTACCCATCTTCATGCTATTCTTGCCTTCAATTTGTTTCACATTCTTTGGAAGCCAAATATAAGTAAAATGTGTATTACTTTTATAGTAAATATTTAATTAAATGTATCAGCATACTTTATTACATTTTATTTTTTATTTTATGTACATTTTTATTGAAATTCTAGTTAGTTAACATAATATTAGTGTAATATTAGTTTCGGGTGTACCATATAGTGATTCATCACTTCAGTACAGACCTGGTGCTCATCCATCAAGTGTGCTCTTCGTTACCTATTTTTTTTATTATTTTAAGTTTTTATTTAAATTGCAGTTAATATACAGTGTCATATTGGTTTCAGGAGTAGAGTTCAGTGATTCGTCACTTACATACAACAGCCAGTGCCTATCACAAGCGCCCTCCTTAATACCCATCACATGTAGCCCATTTTGCCACCCACCTCCCCTCCAGCAACCCTCAGTTTATTCTCTATAGTTAAGAGTCTCCTCTGGTTTGCCTCCCTCTCTTTTTTTTCCCTTCACCTATGTTCATCTGTTTTGTTTTCTTAAAACCACATAGGAGTCATCTGGTATTTGTCTTTCTCTGACTTATTTCACTTGGCATAATACACTCAAGCTCATCCATGTCATCACAAATGGCAAGATTTCATTCCTTTGATGGCTGAGTAATATTCCATGTATATATATGCCACATCTTCTTTATCCATTCATCAATTGAAGAACATTTGGGCTCTTTCCATAATTTGCTTATTATTGGTAATGCTGCTATAAACATTGGGGTGATGTGCCCCTTCAAATCAGTATTTCTGTATCCTTTGGGTAAATACCCAGTAGTGCAATTGCTGGCTCATAGGGTAGTTCTATTTTTAACTTTTAAAGGAACCTCCAAAAAAATAAGTAAATAAATAAAAGAACCTCCATACTGTTTTCCAAGTGACTGCACCATTTTTCATTCCCACTGGAAGTGAAAGAGGGTTCTCTTTCTCCACATCATTGCCAACACCTATTGTTTCTTGTGTTGTTGATGTTAGCCATTCTGACAGGTGTGAGATGATATCTCATCCTGTTTTGTTTTTTTTTTAAAAGATTTTATTTATTTACTCATGAGAGAGAGAGGCAGAGACACAGGCAGAGGGAGAAGCAGGCTCCATGCAGGGAGCTTGACGTGGGACTTGATCCTGGGACTCCAGGATCACGCCCTGCCCCGAAGGCAGGTGCTAAACCCCTGAGCCACCCAGGGATCCCCCTCATCCTGGTTTTGCTTTGTATTCCCCTGATGATGGATGATATTGAGCATCTCTTTTTATATGTCTATTAGCCATCTATATGTCTTCTTTGGAAAAATGTCTGTTCAATCTTCTACCCATTTCTTTTTTTTTTTTTAATTTTTATTTATTTATTTATTTGTGATGGTCATCACAGAGAGAGAGGCAGAGACACAGGCAGAGGGAGAAGCAGGCTCCATGCAGGGAGCCCGACGTGGGATTCGATCCGGGTCTCCAGGATTGTGCCCTGGGCCAGAGGCAGGCGCCAAACCGCTGCGCCACCCAGGGATCCCTCTACCCATTTCTTAACTGAATTATTTGTTTTTTGGGTGTTGAGATTGTAAGCTTTTTTTTTTTTAAATAGATTTTGGATACTATAACCCTTTGTCAGTTAGGTATTTGCAAATATCTTCTCCCATTCTGTAGGTTGCCTTTTAGTTTTGATTGTTTCCTTCATTTGCAGAAGCTTTTTTTCTTGATGAAGTCCCTGTAGTTCATTTTTGCTTTTGTTTCCCTTGCCTTCAGAGATGTGTCTAGTAATAAGTTGCCATGGCTAATGTCAAAGAAGTTGCTGCCTATGTTCTCCTCTGGGATTTTGATGGTTTCCTATCTCACATTTAGGTCTTTTATCTATTTTGAATTTATCTTTGGGTATGGTGAAAGAGAGTGGTCCAGTTTCATTCTTCTACATGTTGTTGTCCAGTTCTCCCAACACCACTGTTGAAGAGAGTGTCTTTTCCAGTGGATATTCATTCCTACTTTGTTGAAGATTAGTTGACCATAGAGTTGAGGGTCCATTTTTTGATTCTCTATTCTGTTCCACTGATCTCTGTATCTGTTCTTGTGGCAGTACCACACTGTCTTGATGATTACATGTTTGTAATACAGCTTGAAGTCCAAAAATTATGATGCCTCCAGCTTTGCTTTTCTTTTTCAAAATTACTTTGATTATTCAAGGTCTTTTATCATTCCACACAGATTTTAGGATTGTTTGTTCCAGCTCTGTGAAAAATGCTGGTGGTATTTTGATAGGGATTGCATTAAATGTATAGATTGCTTTGGGTAGTACAGACATTTTAACAGTAATTGTTCCTCCAATCCATGAGCATGGAATGCTTTCCTATTTCCTTGTTTCATATGTGTTCTATAGGTTTCAGAGTATAGATTTTTTTTTTTACCTCTTTGTTTAGGTTTATCCCTAGGTATCTTTTTTTTTTTAATTTTTTTTTTAAAGATTTTATTTATTTATTCATGATAGTCACACAGAGAGAGACAGAGAGGCAGAGACACAGGCAGAGGGAGAAGCAGGCTCCATGCAGGGAGCCTGACGTGGGATTCGACCCCGGGTCTCCAGGATCGCGCCCTGGGCCAAAGGCAGGCGCCAAACCACTGCGCCACCCAGGGATCCCTTTTTTTTAAATTTTTTATTTATTTATGATAGTCACACACAGGGAGAGAGAGAGAGAGAGGCAGAGACATAGGCAGAGGGAGAAGCAGGCTCCATGCACCGGGAGCCCGATGTGGGATTCGATCCCAGGTCTCCAGGATCGCGCCCTGGGCCAAAGGCAGGCGCTAAACCACTGCGCCACCCAGGGATCCCTATCCCTAGGTATCTTATGGTTTCAGTGCAATTATAAATGGGATCAATTCCTTGATTTCTCTTTCTGCTGCTTCATTATTGGTGTACGGAAATGCAACAGATTTCTATACATTGGTTTTGTATCCTGTGACTTTGCTGAATTAGTGTATCCATTCTAGCAATTTTTTGTTGGAGTCTTTCAGGTTTTCTATATAGAATATCATGTCCTCTGCAAATAATGAAAGTTTGATATTTTTTTTCCTCTCTGATTTGGATGCCTTTCTCTCTTTTTTGTTGTCTGACTGCTGAGGCTAGGACTTCTATTACTATGTTAAATAACAATAGTGAGAGGTGACCATCCTGTTGTGTACCTGACTTTAGAGGAGAAGCTCTCAGTTTTTTCCCACTGAGAATGTTATTAGCTGTAGGTCTTTGTATATAGCCTTTATGATGTTGAGACCTGTTCCCTCTATGCCTATTTTGTTCAGGATTTTTATCAAGAATGGATGCTGTATTTTGTCAAATGTTTTTTCTGCATCTTTTGACAGGACCATATGGTTCTTATCCTTTCTTTTATTACTGTGATGTATCATGTTGATTGATTTGTGAATATTGAACAACCCTTGCAACCCAGGAATAAATTCCACTTGGTCATGGTGAATAATTATTTTAATGTAATATTGGAATCAATTTGCTAGTATCTTGTTTAGAATTTTTGCATCCATTTTCATCAGGGAAATTGGCCTGTAATTCTCTTTTTTAGTGGGGTCTTTGTCTGGTTTTGGAATCAAGGTAATACTGGCCTTATAGAATGAGTTTGGAAGTTTTCCTTCTATTTCTATTTTTGGAATAGTTTGAGAAGAATAAATACTAACTATTCCTTAAATGTGTGGTATTTCCCTGGAAGCTCTCTGGTCCTGGACTCTTGTTTGTTGGAAGAATTTTGATTACTGATTCAATTTCTTTGCTGCTTATTGGTTCCTATTTCAGTTTTAGTAGTTTATATGTTTCTAGGAATTTATCCATTTCTTCCATCTTGCCCAATTTGTTGACATATAATTTTGCATAAATCTTCGTAATTGTTTGTATTTCTGTGGTGTTGATTGTGATCACTCCTCTTTCATTTGTGATTTTATTTATTTGGGTCCTTTCTGTTTTCTTTTTGATAAGTCTGGCTCAGGATCTATTAATTTTATGAAGTCTTTCAAAGAATGAGCTCCTAGTTTCATTGATCTGTTCTATTGTATTTTTTGTTTCTGTATCATTTATTTCTGCTCTAATCTTTATTGTTTCCCTTCTTCTGCTGGCTCTGGCTTTATTTGCTGTTCCTTTTGTAGATCTTTTAGTTGTAAGGTTAAGCTGTGTGTTTGAGGCTTTTCTTGCTTCTTGAGGTAGGTCTGTACTGCTATATACGTCCCTCCTAGGACTGCTTTTCCTGCATCCCAAAGGTTTTAGGGTGTCATGTTTTCATTCGTTTCCATTGTTTTTTAAATTTCTCCTTTAATTTATTGTTAACCTATTCATTCTTTAATAGAATGGGATGTTCTTTAACCTTCAAGTATTTGTGGTCTTTCCAAATTTTTTCTTGTGGTTGACTTGCAAGTTTCATAGCACTATGGTCTGAAAATATGCATGGTATGATCTCAATACTTTTGTACTAGTTGAAACCTGATTTGGGACCCAGTATATGATCTATTTTGGAGAATGTTCCATGTGCATTCAAAAAGAATGTGTATTCTGTTGCTTTAGGATGAAATGTTCTGATTATATCTGTTAAATTCATCTTGTCCAGTGTGTTATTCTTAGCCACTGTTTCTTTATTAATCTAATGCTTATATGATCTGTCCTTGCTGTAAGTGAGGTGTTAAAGTCCCCTACTATTACTGTATTGTTATCAATGAGTTTATTTATGTTTGTTATTAATTGGGAGGCATAAATATTTACAATTGTTATATCTTCTTGTTGAATAGACCCCTTCTTCATCTCCTGTTACAGTCTTTGGTTTAAAAGCTAGTTTATCTCATATGTGTATGGCTACTTCAGCTTTCTTTTGGTGTCCATTAGCATGATAAATGGTTTTCCGTCCCCTCACTTACATTCCCCAGGTATCTTTAGGTCTAAAATGAGTCTCTTGTGAACCACATATAATTGGGTCTTTTTTTTTTAACCCATTCTGATACTGTATGTCTGTTGATTGGAACATGTAGTCCATTTACATTCAGAGTGATTATTGATTATATGAATTTAATGCCACTGTATTACCTGTAAAGTCAGTGTTACTGAAGATTATTTTTGTTCCTTTCTAGTCTTTGTTGCTTTTGGTCTTTCTTTCCCACCTCAAGGGTCCCTGACCTCCAGTATTTCTTGCAGAGCTGATTTACTGATCACGAACTTCTTTAGTTTTTGTTTGTCTGGGAAGTTCTTTCTCTCTCCTTCTATTCTGAATGACAGCCTTGCTGGATAAGGTATTCTTGGCTGCATATTCTTTTCCTTTCGGCATATTGAATATATCATGTCACTCTCTCTGGCCTGTCAAGTTTCTGTGTTCAGATCTGTGAACCTTGTTTGTCTACCCTTGTAGGTTAGGGTTTTCTTTTCCCTTACTGCTTTTGGGATTTTTTTCCTTATCTCTGTATTTTACAAATATTACTGATATGTCTTGGTGTTGGCCTGCTTTTGTTGATTTTGATCAGCAGGCACAGAGAACTGTGTCTCCTGGATTTGGATGTCCATTTCCTCTCCAGATTAGGGGAATTTTCAGCTATAATTTGCTCAAATAAACCTTCTACCCTTTTCCCCCTCCTTTTTCTAGGACTCCTATGATACAAATGTTATTACACTTTATGGAGCCAGAGTTCCCTAAATCTCCATTTGTCATTGAACAATTATCTTTCCCTCTTCTTTTCAGGTTCATTATTTTCCATAATTTTATCTTCTAAATCACGTATTTGTTCCATTTCTCCATCCTTGTGGTCATAACATCCAGTCAGTTTTGCATCTTGGTTATAGAGTTTTTTATTTCGGCTTGACTAGTTTTTAGGTTTTTATATCTATGCTAAGGGACTCCTTGATCTCTTTTGTACTTTCCTCAAGCCCAGCTAGTATCCTTTTGATTGTTATTTTAAGTTCTGCCTCAGGCATATTACTATATCTGTTTTGATTAGATCCCTAGCCTTGACCTCTTCATGTTCCTTCTTTTGGGATGAATTCCTCCATCTTGGCATTTTGTCTAGGCCTCTGTCTTCTGTATCTTAGGAAAGCCTATTATGTTTCTTGTTCTTGAGAGTAATGGCTTATATTAAGAAGAGGTCATATAGTGTCCAGGGCCTGGCACTCAGGAAGTGTCTCTGGTGTATGCTGTGTGCACTCTGCTGTTGTGTTTTTGGCTGCTTTCCTCAGGTCAGGCCTCTGCAGAGTTTTACCTTGCCTGCAGTGGGGTGTGTTTGGATCTTGTCCAGTATGTGATGAGTTTTAAGTAGGTGTGTTTTGGTCAGCTTCTTAAAAGAGACTAAATCCTATTTCCCCTATAACTTAAGCTTTTCAACGCTCTATGATCAGTACACTTGGTGTGTGTGGGTGTTTCGTGCTGGTGTTCTGGGGGAGGGGCCAGCTTTCTGCTCTCTGACTCTCAGGCACCCTTACCCTAGTTCAGAAGCACCTGCAGAGCCGAGCAGGGGCAGGGCTTGGTGTAAGTGGCACAAACCTCCACTTTGGGGCGCTGTGCTGCTCACTGAAGTGCATCCTCAGACTTCACACCTCCTACCTTCCATGATGAGGCCTCTTTTCTCCCTCTAGTGGTGCAATTTGTTCTCTCAGTCCTCAGATAGATTCCCTGGGTGTTCAGAATGATGTGATGTTTATCCAGCTGTGTTCAAGGGACAAGATAAGCATGAGATCCTCCTCCTCCTCTGCCACCTCAACTCTTTTTTCAAGAGCTGAACAGAACCATCCCGAGGTCTCCCGTCTGCGGGCTAGCTCTGAACAAGGCTGTTGTTCATGCTAAATTGAATCACTGTTTTAAGAAAATGGGTATTTCTAAACCTGTACATAGGATACTCTTTGCAGAAAGGAAAGAGGGATTTTTGGACATTGCCTCTATGAGAATTGATTCAGGGATCAAGTGCCTACTATTACCCCCTCTTAATCCAGTCCCTAACTAGCATTCCTTTGTGTCTGCAGATGGATAAGATTCTGTGGATAGCTGCCTCCCAATTCAGGCTTGAAAAGTCCTGACCATCTGAGAGGATCTAAAATCAAATTTGATAGTCTTGATTCTTTCTTGTGCTTATCAATCGCAGGTCGCTTGACTGGTGGACAACAGACAAATGCAATATGATTAATGGAACAGATGGAGATTCTTTTCACCCGTTGATAGACAAGGACGAAATTCTTTATGTCTTCCCATCTGAATTTTGCAGGTAAGAACTTTACAAATAAGTTCTTTGACTGCAAGACCACCAAAAATGTGAGGAATATATGCAGCTACCCTTCATAGGTGTGGACATTTATGCTTCATCTATGATGAATGCCGATAGCATACTGAGACACGCTGTGGGGCAGTAGTTCGCAGCACGGGCTCCAGAGCAAGACTGCATTGGTTCATTTGAACACCAGCTCCAACACTTAGTGCTGTGTGACCTTGGGAAAGTTATTCAACCACTTCGTGCCTCACTTTCCTCATTTGTAAAATAAAGACAGAAATAGTTGCCTACCTTGGGAGTTGTTATGAGGACAAATGCATTATTCTTAGTGAAATACTTAGCCCAGGGTCTGTCAACGGTAAACATTAAGTAATGGCTCTTAGTTATTTGATATGCTCTGTCAAGCATGATACTTAACCTGGTCTTCCAGTCAACAGGTAACCTCTACATAGAAGATAAATCAAACTGGGGTCTCTGGTTCAGAGGTCCCTTAGATCATACCTGCTCCCACCTGCCCTGTAAGCTCTCCCTCCCTCCCACTGCTCCTGCATGATTATGGCTCCTCTATGGGCAAGAAAGCATCCCACTCTCCGTCCTTATTCCCATACCCCCATCAGCCACTGCCCTTTCTCTGCTCTTCACCCTCAAACTGCCTGAATGAATGGCTGACTCACACTGGCTCCAGATCCTCCCTTACTTATCCTGGCAAGCCTTTTTGTGAAACTTCTCAAAGTCCCAAGTGACTTAGTTGCATTTGATGCTGTTGATTCAATATCCTGAATAATTGCTGTTCTTTTGGCATTCTGTAGCTCACATAATTGCACCACCTACCCAGTCCAGCCTGCCGGAAATATTGGTGGCATTATACATCTCCCTTCTCTCCTGCATCGAATTTGCTACCAAATCTGCTACTGGATGCTGGGATGCCTTCTCAGAGAGAGCTCTTGCATCTGCCCCCACCTCTCCATCGTTGCTGCCTGTGCCACAGCTCACATCCTTTCCAGCTCTCTCACAGAATACCACTATCCCTGTCCCTCTCTCACTGGCTGCCCTTATCCGTACATATTGTGGAAGGCCAGAAGGAATAGAAAATGCATTTGAATGCAGTGAGTGAAACCAGGCAACCAAAAGTGCAGTGGGTGGCTTCTTATGAGATCTGGTGCGGAGGAAACATGTTCTTATCTGGCACAACCACTTTTGAAGGGCCACTTGGCAGTGTTCAGTAGAGCCAAAGATGTGCAAACTCCACAGTGCTTCACTATTTTCCTGTGTAAGTTCGCTGGCCTGAAGAACCCTTGCATAGACACATAAGGAGACGTATACAGAAAAGTTCATTGCAACATGGTTTCAGTAGTGGAATATTGGAAGCAATTTAAATCTCTCTATATATTTTAATTATTATATTATTTTTAAATTTTAATTCCAGTACAGTTAACATACAGTATTAAATTAGTTTTAAGTGTATGATATAGTGATTCAATAATTCTCTATATTACTCAGTGCTCATTTAAGTCTCTATAAAAAGGAGAATATAAATAAATTGTGGTGTATTCATATGATGGAATATTGTATAAGATCTAACATCTGAGAACCAGGGACACCTGGGTGGTTCAGTCAGTTAAGTGTCTGCCTTCAGCTGAGGTCATGATCCTGGGGTCTTGGGATCGAACCCCATGTCAGGCTCCCACTCAGCAGGAAGTCTGCTTCTCCCTCTTCCTCTGCCCCTCCCTCCAGCTTATGCATGCTCACTCTCTTTCTAATAAATAAATAAAATCTTAAAAAATTATAAAATATGAGAACCAGACAATGCAATGTTATCAATCTTAAAAATGTCATACTGAATGAAGAAGCAAATTACAGGAGGAGAACATGGTATACTGTTTATATATAACATTTGAAAATAGCAAACCATGCCACATATTGTTTGTGAATGTTGGTGAAAGGATAACAGCCTGCCAGGGATGGATAAACCCCAAGTTCAGGATACTGCTTACCTCTGGGGACTCAGAGAAAGGCTAGAATGAGGAGTATGATGTAGAGAGCTGCAGTTTTATCTGTAATGTACTTTTTATTTATCTGAGTAGTATTTGTTTTAAAAGGTATTTATAATAGTATTTTTCTCTATTTTTCTGTCTGCCCAAAATATTTTATTTAGAAAATGCTATAGGAGTGGGATGTGAGTACAATGCAGTGTTATTTACAACCCTACAAGAGACGTACCCCACCTCGGGTTCAAGGATGAAGAAGTCAGGCCTAGAAAGCATTTCACTCTGGCCTGCAATGAAGGGCTGAAGTATCACTTGAGACAGTGTGTATGAGAGTGTTGTGTCTATCATTCAGGTGCTATGAAAACACAAGGGTGGTCAGTATTACATGAGGTCACTGTTTGAAACTCCATAAAGGCTGAAGACAAAATTCCACTGAACTCTATTGAGATAAATGACTGCAATAATAAACATCAAAATAAATCCCCAAATATGGAAACTTTTTATTTGAGAGAAATGGGTATCAAAGTATACATTCAAATCAAATGTCTGGCCAATGCACACTTTTCAAGTGCTTACAAATCTATCTGGCTGAGCCTTTTGCCACCTTTTCTGCTTTTGCTTTGCCTCTGCCTCCCCCTTGCTTCTACTCTGTCCATACTGGCACGTGTCCATGCTGGGTTAGACAACTCTTTTATTTCTTTCAATTTGAGTCTCTGTCTTCAATGTCATCTTCATTTCCTATCACACATTTTTTCCCTTGGCCTTGGTTGGCTGTTACTACAGTAGCTACCTCTTAAACATTTTTCATGATAATTCCTCTTCTACATTGAGTGGTGTGAGTTCCTCTCAAGCTTTCTTTTGTATCTTAATTTCCCATTAAACTTAATTTCCCGTAAACTTTAGCCATGTTGTACCTGAACAGTTGTGAACTTACTGGTCTGGGGACGACTGCACTGACCAGAGCCCACACTGATTTTTCCTTCTTACTTCCTACCAGATCAGTGTATATAACTTTCAGTGACTTCACAAGTGTGCAGGGACTGCCTGCCTTTCGGTATAAAGTGCCTGGAGAAGTATTAGCCAATACCTCAGACAATGCCGGCTTCTGTGTGCCTAAGGGAAACTGCCTGGGCTCAGGAGTTTTGAATATCAGCATCTGCAAGAATGGTAAGAGCTCAGGGAAGGGACGTGATTCTGTGTGTCTAGAATGCAGGGCTAGTGTTCTTCAACAAAGAATGTTGTCAGCCCAAATGAAATAGTGATTCTGACTTTTCACAAATAATGTTTCACAATATGGCTATTAAATGGTAAAAGATTACTGGCTTCTCTGTATTGCTTGTTTTTTTTTAAATTGAAGGTATGCTTGACATATAACATTATATTAGTTTCTGGTATACAATATAACAATTCAATATTTGTATATATTGTAAAATGATCACTGCAATAAGTCTGGTTAACATCTGTCACCATACCTAGTTATAAAAAAGATGTTTTTCTTGTGATGAAGACTTTGAAGATCTATTCTCTTAGCATCTTGTAAATACGCAATATATTATTATTAACTATATTACATCCCTGTAACATTTATAACTGGAAATATGCACCTATTGACCCCTTTCAACCATTTCTCCCACCCCAACCCTGCCACTTCTAGAACCACTGATCTGTTCTCTGTCTATGAGCTTGATTTATTGTTGCTATTGTTTTTAAATTCTACATGTAATTGAGATCATAGGTATTTGTCTTTGTCTGACTCATTTCACTTAGCGTAATGCCCTCAAGATCCATCCCTGTTGCTGCACATGGCAAGATTTCATGCTTTAAAAAAAAAAAAAAAGATTTCATGCTTTTTTATGGCTGAATAGTATTCCACTGTGTCTGTATGTGTGTGCCCATATATATGCACCACAACTTATTTATTCATTCATCCACTGATGGACAGTTAGCTTATTTCCATATCTTAGTTATTGAAAATAATGCTGCAATGAACATAGGGGTGCATATATCTTTTCAAATTAGTTTTTGTGTTTTTTTTTTTTTTTGGATAAATACCCAGAAGTGGAATTGCTGGATTGTATGGTGGGTCTATTTTTAATTTTAAAAATATTTTTATTTATAAGAGAGAGGGAGAGTTTGCATGTGAGCAAGAGGAGGGGCAGAGGGACAGGGAGAGAGAGAATCTCAAGCAGACTCTGCCTTGAGCATGGAACCTGACGTAGGGCTCAATCTCATGACTCTGAGATCATGACCTGAGCTGAAATCAAGATTTGAACACTTAAGCAACTGAGCCACCCAGGTGCCCCTATTTTTAACTTTTTTGAGAAATCTTTATCTTGTTTTCTACAGTAGTGGCACCAATTTACATTCCCATCAACAGTACATAAGGGTTGCCTTTTCTCTGCATCCTCACCAACACCTATTGTTTCTTGTGTTGTTGATTTTAGCTATTCTAACAGATTGAAGTAATATCTCATTGTGGCTCTGGTTTGCATTTCCCTGATGATTAATGCTGTTGAGCATCTTTTCATGAACCCATTTGCCATTTGTATATCTCCTTTAGAAAAATGTCTACTCAGATCCTCTGCCCATTTTTCAATTGAATTGTTTGGAATTTTTGCTATTTAGTTGCATGAGTTCTTTATATAGTTTGGATATTAACCCTTACAGTGATATGATTTGCAAATATTTTCTCCCAGTCAGTAGGTTTCATTTTGTTGGTGGTTTCCTTTGTTATGTGAAAGTTTCTTAGTTTCTGTAGTCCCATTTGTTTATTTTTGCTTTTGCTTTTGGAGTGAGATCCAAAAAGTATCACTAATACTGATGTCATGGAGCTTACTGCCTATGCTTTCTAATAGGAGTTTTATGGTTTCAGATCTCACATTTGAGTCTTTAATCTATTTTGAGTGAATTTTTGTGTATGGTACAAGAAAGTGGTCCAGTTTCATTGTTTTGCATGTGGCTGTCCAGTTTTCCCAACACAGTTATTGAAGACTCTGTTCTTGCCTTATGGTATATTCTTGGGTCCTTTGTCATAAATTAATTGAATGTGCATGGGTTTTATATCTGGACTCTGTTCTATCGACGTGTCTATTTTATGCCAATTCCATACTGTTTTGCCATACCATGGCCTTGTAATATAGTTTGAAATTGGGGAGTGTGATACCTCCAGCTTTGTTTTTCTTTCTTTGTCTCTTATTAAAGTCTCTCTCTCTCTCTTTTTTTTTTTTAAGTCTGTTTTGTCTGATGTAACTCCAGCTATTCCAGATTCTTTTTGATTTCCAATTACATGGAATATCTTCTTCCCTCCATTTATGGTCGGTCTGTGCATGTCTTTACATTTGAGATGAAACTCTTTAGGCAGCATATGGATGGGTCTTGTAATTTTAAAAAAAATTTTATTTATTTATTCATGAGAGACACAGAAAGAGAGGCAGAGATATAGGCAGAGGGAGAAGCAGGCTCCCTGACGGGGAGCCTGATGCAGGACTCAATCCCAAAAACCTGAGATTACCACCTTAGCCAAAGGCAGGAGCTCAACCGCTGAACCACCCAGGTGCCCCAATTTATGATGATTTCAAAGCAGAGTTAGTTTTACACCCTGACCGCAAATCTCCGGGTATTTCTGAATGTCTGAGCTGCTCAGGTCCTTTCCGTGAATGAGACAGAATTATTGGTGGCACAACTGGAAAAAGCATTTTCTTCATCTTGAGAACTAATTTTGACAATCACAATTATTCACAATATTCTTACTAGATAGGCATCCAGAGGCCTCTTTTTTATAATTGTGGAGACCAGGGCCCAGAGAGGGAAAATGATTTTTATAAAATTTTATCTGAGCAAATCCCTGCTAAAACTTAGGGTCTTCTCCTGTTGCTACTGTGATGCTTCTTAGGCTACAATTCCTCTTTGAAGTTTCTTTTGAGGAATTTTGGAACCCATCTTTCCTGAATAAAGTTGCCTTTACCCCCTGAATAAAGTCCTATGCTAACTTTTGCCCTCTTATCTAATTTGCCTGAAAAAAAATCTCCTTTTGGGATAAGTCTGAGGTCAGCAGTATACCTCCCTATTTTCTGTCTGCTAGGGTAGTGGCCCCTAAATTTGGTCTTGCATGAGAATTGTCTGGAGAGTCATTAAAAATATGTCCTGGGGCCCACCTGCTGGGGCCCCAGAACCTGTATTTTTAACATGAGCTCCAGGTGATTCTCATGAGAATGGTGCCTACTATTTGGGGACCACTGAGCCACGGTACATGGTACCCCTCCCTAGAGATAAGACCAAAGGTATGTGGGAGCAAGTGCCTGATTCTGACCTGTCCTGCTTTCTTACTAGGTGAGTGGTCCTGAAAGAGTGTCCTGCCCACACAGTCCAGGTACCTCCAGCTCCAGGCACAAGTATAGACATATTTTTTCTCATTATTTTGTTAACAATCTGCTTCCTCAAGGAGTTGACGTCAGAGTCAGCCAAGATTCTGTTTGGCAATCAATCTCTTGGTACAATCCTTTTCTTCTTGCCTCATATAGACTCTCAGATATGGACTGAAAAGTGAAACCTTCTGGGATTATCGTTCAGTGTTTTGAATTTCCCCAGAGAACCTTTTGGATGGTGGGATGGGTCAGTGTTCTGGAGTCAGTTAGATCTGGGTTTGATTATATTCTGTTAGCCCAGTAACCAAGTTGGTTGAGGAGGATCCTTAGTTTTCTCATCTGTAATGTGGGGGTGATGATAACTCCCTTGGAGGGTTGTGTGAAGGTTAGAGATTATGTTTATAAAACACTGAAGATATGTCTGGCCCTTATCAAGTTCCCAATAAATCTTTAAAAATACATTTTAGAGATCATTTTAGGTCACAAAGAAGGAAAATATGACGTTGTGAAACTGTTTAGTGAACAGTTTCTTCCTAAACAAAACGCATAGATGTAACAGATGATATGTATCTTAAGCCATGGCTGGTAGATGTATAAGCAAATCTAAATTATTTGGCAGTAAGCTAATTTCTCCAAATGTATATTTCCCTGGTAACAATTATTGGATCCCTCTCTCCTCTTCAATAGCATAATCTAGAATAGGTTTTCTTTAATAACTTGTTTCCCTATTTGCTCTTTTTAAGAAAGTCTTATTAAAGTATATTTGACATATAGTGTTACATTAGTTTCAGATGCACAACATAGTGATTTGACTATTCTATATATTAACAGTCACCACAATAAGTGTAGCCACCATCTGTCACCATACAACATTGTTACAATATTATTGACTATATTCCCTATGCTGTGCTATTCATGTCTGTGGCTTATTTATTTCATAACTGGAAGTTTGTACCTCTTAATCCCCTTCACCTATTTCACCCAACTCCCCCAGTCATCACCTACTCTCCGGCAACCACCACATTGTTCTCTGTATTTATGTCTGTTTCTGTTTTGTTTGTTCATTTGTTTTGATTTTTTAGATACCACAAATAAGAAATTATGTGGTATTTGTTTTTCTCTGTCTGACTTTTTTCACTTAGCATAATACCCTTTGGGTCCATCCATATTGTCACAAGTGGCAAGATCTCATTCTTTTTTATGCCTCAGTAATATTCTATTATATATGGCTACCACATGTTCTTTATCCATTCATCTATTGCTGGCAGTATTGTAAGTAATGCTTCAGTGAACATAGGGGTGCCTGTATCTTTTCAAATTAGTATTTTCATTCTCTTTGGGTAAATACTCAGTAATAGAATTACCAGATTACATGGTATTTCTATTTTTACTTTTTGGAAGAAACGCTACACTATTTTCCACTGTGATGATACCAATTTCCATTCCCATCAACAGTGCACAAGGGTTACTTTTTTCCCACGTTCTCAGCAACATTTGTTATTATAATCTTGTCTTTTTGATACTAGCTATTCCAACAGGTATGATGTGATATCTTCCTGTTGTTTTGGTTTGCATTTCTCTGATGATTAGTGATGTTGAGCATTTTTTTCATGTGTCTGTTAGCCAACTGGATATCTTCTTTGGAGAAATGTCTACGCAGGTCCTCTGCCCATTTTTTCCGATATATTATTTATTTTTTTCAGTGTTGTATAAGTTCTTCATATATTTTAGATACTAACCCCTTACCAGATAATATTATTTGGAAATATCTTCTCCTATTTAGTAGGTTGCCTTTTTCTTTTGTTGATAGTCTTTGCTGTGCAAAAGGATTTTGTTCTGAAAGCAGTTTATTTTTGCTTTTGTTTCCCTTGCCAGAGGAGACATATCTATAAATATGTTGTTAAGTCCAATGTCCAAGAGATTATTGCCTGTTTTTTCTTTTTTTTTTAATTTTATTTATTTATGATAGGCACACAGTGAGAGAGAGAGAGAGAGAGAGAGAGAGAGAGAGAGGCAGAGACATAGGCAGAGGGAGAAGCAGGCTCCATGCACCGGGAGCCCGACATGGGATTCGATCCCGGGTCTCCAGGATCATGCCCTGGGCCAAAGACAGGCGCTAAACCGCTGCGCCACCCAGGGATCCCCTGCCTGTTTTTTTCTAAGAGTCTATGGTTTCAGGTCTCATAGTTAGGTCTTTAATCTGTTTTGAGTTTTTTTTTTTTTTTTTTTTTTTTAGATTTTTATTTAAGAGAGAGAGAGAGAGAAGCAGAGACATAGGCAGAGGGAGAAGCAGGCACCATGCACTGGGAGCCTGACGTGGGATTCGATCCCGGGTCTCCAGGATCGCGCCCTGGGCCAAAGGCAGGCACCAAACTGCTGCGCCACCCAGGGATCCCCTGTTTTTTTTTTTTTTTTAATTTTTATTTATTTATGATAGTCACACAGAGAGAGAGAGAGAGAGAGAGAGAGAGAGAGAGAGAGAGAGAGAGGCAGAGACACAGGCAGAGGGAGAAGCAGGCTCCATGCACCGGGAGCCCGACGTGGGACCCGATCCCGGGTCTCCAGGATCGCGCCCTGGGCCAAAGGCAGGCGCTAAACCGCTGCGCCACCCAGGGAAGGGATCCCCTGTTTTGAGTTTATTTTTGAATATGGCATAGGAAAGTGGTCCAGTTTCTTTTTTTTTTTTTTTTACATGTAGCTGGCCAGTTTCCCCAACATGATTTATTAAAGAGATTGCCTTTCCCCCCATTGTATGTTCTTGCTTCCTTTGTCATAAATTAATTGACCATGTAAGTGTGGGTTTATTTCTGGCCTTCCTATTCTGTCCTTGATCTCTGTGTCGGCTTTTAAGCCAGTACCATTCTGTTTTGACTAATAAAGCTTTGTAGTATATCTTGAAATCTGGAATTGTGATATCTCCAGCTTTATTCTTTCTCAAGATCACTTTGACCCTTCAGGATCTTTTGTAGATTCTTACAAATTTTAAGACTATTTGTTCTAGTTCTGTGAAGAATACTATTGGTATTTTAACAGGAATTGCATTGATTCTGTAGATTGCTTTGGCTATCATGGGCATTCTCTATTTGATTCTTAAAAGAATAGGGAAGAAAATAAAAGAGAAAACAGAGTCTTCATGTGGGCAGACCTTGATCTAGGCAGAGGCTGGGCAGATAGCATGACCAGGCAAAGTCTTAAAAAATTCTGTATCAACATATGCAGGAGAAGAAAGCCTGTATTAGGTAAACCAAAAAAAATAGAAAAGCAGGCAAAAAAAAAAAAAAAAGTTCTTTCATTCGTAGAGATTTGCAGTTGAAACAGTGCTTTCAGATGACACATCTCTCATTCAATTAGAATTCTGCCTTCATCACCTGATAGCTGGATGTGAACTTCGCTTTCCTCAAGTGCAAAATGAAATTAATAGTTTTAACTTACTAGGGCTCCTGGGAATATTAATTAAAATAATGTGTGGTATACACATTATACCACAGTATAAGGTATACTTTATATTTCATAGGTGCAGTAAATACTGAAGACTATATAATTTAGCCATGATTGAATATATATTGTAGAATAAAATAATGTTAGGGTAAATGAGATGTCAGAAAAAGAAGTATAAATCCCAAACTAGGAGGTGTTGAATGGAATTTTGCCTGTCCCATTCCTCCACGCAAGTCTCCTTACATATAGAATTTCCCCCTTTCTAGGAACCAAGTTTATGGTCAGGAACTCTATATTCATCTTGGACTTTCAAGAACCACATCATATCTTTCTATTTTCCTCAAAATTCAGGTGCACCCATTATTATATCTTTCCCACACTTCTACGAAGCAGACAAGAAGTTTGTTTCTGCCATAGACGGCATGCATCCAAATAAGGACTACCATGAGACCTTTGTGGACATTAATCCAGTGAGTACACACATCTTCCTGGTAAAAGCATGCATTTTATTCTGCTTACTCGATGTTTACTGGTTTAGTCTGAGCAGTGTTAATGTACTATCTCCCTGTCATATACATATTCAAGTGGAGAAGACTTAGCTCAGTGCATGTGATGCACAGTCTCACAGCCTGCCTGGCTGAACTCTGTGGCTCTAATATGCAGAAACGTCAGCAAACCCGCTTTAACAAAAAAGCACTTCTAAACATTGCATCACTGGAGCGACTGGGCCTGGACCCATGTAACCTGGCAGTGTTTTGTTGCCAGCCTTAGACTTGAACGTACATACCTTCTCCCACTGGCAGACAGATCAGCAAGGCTGAAGACAAACATTCTTTTGCTTACTGCAGGGAAGGTTTTGGTTGCAATTTAAATATATGTATTAGCTTCAGTTACTTTTGGCAAGCCTCGTTCTACAGGCACTCTTGAGAGTTTATTGTATGAGATGATTAAAAGGCATTAGAGATACATATGCTTTCATCCTGTTGTCAAAGAGGAGAAAAACTAAAGCCACGCCAAAAGGAAGGGAATCTCATTTTACTATAGGAGAGCCTCTCCCTTTAGTAACCAAGTTAAAGGTCAGATATCTTCATTCTTGGGATTTCACATACATGGAAGAGTGAAGAAAAAGCAATAACAGTGTCTGAGCACAGCAATCTATGGCAATTCACTCTTGTGGCTGAGAAATCAGTGGTCTTATCATTTAGTGAAAAAGATCAGGTGTTTTTCCCCCTTCTCTCTCTTAACCCTCAGTCTGTTCCTCTTCCTCAGCTGAACTGTGGGCAGGCGTTTGTCCCCGAGGGAGGGCCGGGCAGAGCCCCTAGACCTCAGAGCGGGGATGAGGCGGCCTCAGGGGAGACGTAAGGGGATCCGGTAGCAGCAGTTGCTTTCCCGGCTTTGGTGGTGGTGGTGGCAGTCCTGACCATACCAGGAACCACTCTCTGGCTCAGAGCTCCCTCCTGCCAGGGTCACCTAGGGCTTTCCTATCTGAAGTGGTGGCACCTTGGGTGCCTGCCAGAAACACCCAATGCCATGCTTCCCTCCAGACCCACTGAATCCCAATCTGCATCCCCAAGAGCTCACATGCATACTACAGTTGGAGGAGCACTGGTCTCCCGGGCACCCAGCCCCAGCCACAATGCTCGCTCTGTCCCGGGGTCAGTTGCCCTTGTCCCATCCACTCTTCCTCTCAGATGTGGCAGCAGCCACCCTAGTTGTGAGCACCACAAAGAAATGGTGCTCCATTGAGAAAAACTAATGTTTTCTTTCTGCTTCTCTGGTTTGCAGTTGACGGGAATTATCCTAAGAGCCGCCAAGAGGTTCCAGATCAATGTTTATGTCAAAAAGTTAGACGACTTCATGTAAGTTTGACTTCTCTCATCAGAGGCAGGGGGTGGTTTTGCTGCATTGACTTTCTGGTGGGGTCAACAAGGCAGCATTCAAATAGCTGCCTTGGACTTGGGATTTACTTATTTTATTTAACCGAACATCTATAGTGTGCTTTCCTTGGATCACACATTGCTTTAAGCCTCTTACATGCAGTAGCTGATTTATTCCTCATGGTAACCCTGTGTTAGCCCCATTTGACAGATGAGGAAACCAAGGCATAGAGAGGTGACATAAGGCTACAGAGTAGCCTCCCCACTCCATGCAGTGCTTCCCTTGCCATGACCCTGGTCACCTCCCTTACCTGGCTTCCTACTGCTCCCACCCAGGGCCAGCCACAGGCTCTCAGTTAAAATAGGCTTCTGAGTCCCACCTCTCCTCCCCGCATACCATCTAAAAACCACCTCTTAATTAAGAGGACTCAGAAGCCTCAGCCTGTAGCAAGGGAAGCGCTGCATGGAATGGGGAGGAGAGACTCTGTAGCCTTAGGGACGCCTGGGTGGTTCAATGGTTGAGTGTCTGCCTTCGGCTCAGGGGTGATCCCAGGGTCTAGGGATCGAGTCCCACGTCGGGCTGCCCACAGGGAAATGGTGCTTCTCCCTCTGCCTGTGTCTCTGCCTCTCTCTCTCTCTCTCTCTGTCACTCATGAATAAATAAAACCTTAGAAAAAGAAAAAGACCTAGAGCCTTAGAATCAAAATGGAATTATGGTCCTGACTCCACTTTTTATTTCTGTTGGCCCTGGACAAATGACTCTGAGCTGTAATTCCCATGTCTTAAACCTGGGACAGGGATGCCTCCCACATGGGACTAGTGTGAGATTTAAATGATATAGTGTCCTCCCAACAGGTGCAGAGCTGGTTCTTGGTAAAGGGCTCTGAGCTCTGATCATACTTAGTGGCCTGGTTACAAAACATTCTGAGGAGGGGTGCCTGGGTGGCTCAGTCGGTTAAGCATCCGATTCTTGATCTTGGCCCAGGTCTTAACCTCAGGGGTATGAGTTCAAGCCCCACATTGGGCTCCAGGAACCTACTTAAAAAAAATTAAAAAACAAAAACCGTTCTGAGGATTGGCAGCATTGTTCTGCTGGCTGCTGGCCATCCCTCTGATAACTCTTGAGAGAATAGTAATCATTTTGATGAATTTGCTTTCAGCGTCTTGTATTTTGATAAAAATGCTTAATATAAATGTGCAACATTTGGAATTGTTAGACTGACAGATTGGAATCTAACTTCTGATTGCTAAGTGTTTGCAAAAATAACTCAGAAGTCTTTATAAGTTCTGGGCAATTGAATGAAATAGGTGTGCTGGAATTTTTAAATAAACTTCTCTCTCCAGGGGTACCTGGTGGCTAGTCAGTGAAGTATCTGACTCTGATTTCGGCTCAGGTCATGATCTCAGGGTTGTGGGATGGAGCCCCACATTGGGCTCAGCCCTCAGTGGGGGTCTGCTTGTCATTCTCCTTCCTCTTCTGCCCCTCCCCCTGCTCACACAACTTATCTCTCCAGGCCAGGATGTCTATAAAATAATCTCATATTTTGTCTTTTTATAAATTGCGGTATAATTGACATACATTATATTAGTTTCAGGTATACAATATAATGATTTGATTTTTTTTTATATATTACAAAACAATCACCACAATAAGTCTAGTTATTATCTGTCACCACAGTAGGCACAGAATTTCTTTCTCGGGATGAGAACTTTTAAGTTCTATTCTCTTAGCAACTTTCAGCTATGCATTACAGTATTATTAACTAAAATTGCCATGCTGTACATCACATCCCTAGGACTTACTTATTTTATAACTCGAAGTTTGTACATTTGGACTCCCTCCATCCATTTTTCCCACCCCCCTACCCCTAACTCTGACAACCAGCAGTCTGTCCTCTGTGTCTGTGAGCTTGGTTTTTTGTTTTGTTTATTTTAGATTCCACATTTAAAGGAGAATATACAGTATTTGTTTTTCTATGTCTGATTCATTTCACTTAGTGTAGCTTCCTCAGGGTCTGTTCATGCTGTCACAAATGGCAGATTGTGACATTCTTTTTTATGGCTGAATGGTATTCCAGCGTGATTTTTATATATATTATATATATATATATATATATATATTATAAAATGTTTTATTTTTTTTTAATTTTTATTTATTTATGATAGTCACAGAGAGAGAGAGGCAGAGACACAGGCAGAGGGAGAAGCAGGCTCCATGCACCGGAAGCCCGATGTGGGACTCGATCCCGGGTCTCCAGGATCGCGCCCTGGGCCAAAGGCAGGCGCCAAACCACTGCGCCACCCAGGGATCCCTAATGTTTTCTTTATTCATCCATTGATGGACACTTTGGTTGTTTCCATATTTTGGTTATTGGAAAAAATACTGCAATGAACATAGGGGTGCATATATCTTTTTGAGTTAGTATTTTCATTTTCTTTGGCTAAATATCCAGAAGTGGAAGTGCTGCATCATATTGTAGTTCTGTTTTAATTTTTTTCAGAACCTCCATACGGTTTGCCCTAGTGGCTGCACCAATTTACATTCCCACTAACAGGGCACATCCACATCCTCACCAACACTTACTCCTTTTGCCTTTTGATACTAGCCATTCTAACAGGTATAAGGTGATATCTCATTGTGGTTTTGACTTGTCACCTTTTGTCTTTCTAGTGAAACAGGAAACATTAGAACCATGGTTTTCCCAGTGATGTATATCAATGAGGTAAGTCCCGGGAGGGAGCCACATATATATTTTACTTGTGGAAGCTTGGAAAACTTCCATTATGATGTCTACTATTGTAGCTCTGTAATTTAAGATGTGAGAAAGGGGGAAAGGTGATTTTTAAAAATCTGTCCTCAGAAAATTTGTTTATATGTTTATATGAGGCTGCCAATGTTTGAGATTTGAAAATGACAGAAACAAAATTTCCTTTCTCAAGAACATATTTTGGGTTCTGTCTTCTGAGAAGCTGGTTATGTAAGAAACAAAATGCAAAGGTAAATGAAGTAATGTCAGACACTGTCGAAGCAGAATAAATAGCCAAAACTCAGACAGATGGGCAGTTAAACCTTTCTTTGCATCTCCTCCATCTTTGAAACTCTCCCGGTTTGTAGAATGTTATCAGTTTACCATTCATGTAGTAGAGCAGGAGAAAAAGTGGGTAAAATTAAAATGATTAGCAATATTACATGAAAGTTTTATGTATGGTGGTTAAAGAAATGACTGAATAAAATGAGATACATTCTCATTAATTTTACTGGTGTATGGTTGCCTTATCTATTATATAGCATTGAGGGTTTTTCTTACTTTCTGTTAAACAAACATATATCATAGGACATAGATCGTGTCATAGTTCAAACAAAAAGGGTTTCCCTAATGAAATATTTCTTTCTTTCACAATGTACCCACAAAAATTTTATCCCTAGATGTTAGATATAAATTGAAGTTTTGCAAGTAAAAACTTTTTTTTTGGAAAGCTCAGAAAACACCTGCTATGTAAGACACTTTTGACAAATTCTTTTATGAATCACGTGCATTTATTATATATATATATGTGTGTATATATATATATACATATCCTCAAGTTCCCTCTTTCTTCCACCCAGTTTTGTGGGGGAATACACTTGTAAGGGTGTTCCTTCTACAATAAATTCTCGATTGGCTTGCTTCTGTTTTTAACAGTAGAGTCATTTAAAAAATTTTTTATTATTTTTTCTGTTCCCTAAACTTGTTCTGTGTACAAGATTCAGTAACAGGGATTGGCAAGAAAAAGGAAAATTAAAATAACTTTCACAAAACCTGGGCCACACTGACATTGTTTTGTTCTTGACTTGCTTCGTTTTACTCAAAAATGTTGTAAAATTGTTTCCAATGATACCTTTGTAAAATATAATTTAACAACAACAAAAAATATATATATAATTTATTATATATTATACTTACACTTCGTAAAACGAACACATGCTCTTTATAGACCTCTTGGAAAACTAAAAATCTGTATTTTAGAAGTGAATTACCATACAGATATTGAATCATTATCTTGTACGCCCAAAACTAATATGTGTCAATTATACCTCAATTAAAATTTTTTTTAATATTTAACAAGTGAATCACTGATAAACTGTCCCTCAAAGACAAGTATAGCTGACATCTGCTTATGTTGTCTCTTAGTATTTTTCTAGTGTTGATATTAAATAGTTGAGACCATCCTGTAGATGCAGTTTTATAACATTCTTCTTTTTTTTTTTATAAAGATTTTATTTATTTATTCGTGAGAGACACAGAGAAGAGAGAGAGGCAGAGACACAGGCAGAGGGAGAAACAGGCCCCATGCGGGGAGCCCGACATATAGGACTCCATCCCAGGACTCCAGGATCACGCCCAGGGCTGAAGGTGGCGCTAAACCACTAAGCCACCCAGGCTGCCCTTTTTTTTTTTTTTTTTTCCATTTGGCATTACTTTGGTAGCCACATTTATAAACTTTTGAAGGTTTTGTGCTTACAATTCTAAAACATGGCTTTGTGATTGCTCCTGAGTCATCACTGTTCTTGTTTGTGGAGAGGCACATGAAAGCAGGGCTTTTTGAAAACAAGGAAGGACCCTGTTCTGGCACCTTATGTTCGTAGTTATGGCATATTTGAAGTCCCCTCCAACTCAGCCTTTGCTTTGCTTCGCTTTTTGGTTGAGGACTATATTGAGTCCAGGGAATTATAGAGTAAAACCTTGTGCTTTCGGTGCCTCCCTAGAAAGAATTTGACTTTACTCTAGAAAAAGAAAACATTAAACCTTGAGGTGACCTTGAGATTGCTCTCCCACTTCCTTTTTTCAGAGAAGGAGACTCTAACATGGATGGATCTTGGTCAGTTGCTGGAACCACCAGCCCTAGAAACCCATCCTTTGTTTCAGTCTAGTACAGATTCAGCCTAAATTAAGCCGAAAGTTTCATTTGTTGCTCATAATTTTTATGAAATTAAGTTCTCCAGACACCTCACTCATTGTAATTTACAGAGATAAGATTTTTGTTCTGTTTAGAAAGTGTTATCCTAGAACATTTTCTTGGTTATCAACACCCTCTGGAATTCTAGTGAGCCTCAAGACTTCCTTGGACACTCTACTGAGACCTCTGGCCTTTTTTAAGAAACATATTTTTTTAAGAAGCATTTTTTTAAAGATTTTATTTTTAAGTAATCTCTACACCTAACATGGGGCTTGAACTTATAACCTAGAGCTTACAGCCTAGAGCCCAAGAGTCTCATGCTCTACTAACTGAGTCAGCCAGGTGCCCCGAGACCTCTGGTCTTGATTACTAGAGATTAACCAAAACAATAAATTATACTTTCCACATACCATTGTTGGAATGTTTCATTCATTCAACCAACTGACATTAATGTAGCACCTACTGCGTGTAGAGTGCTATTCCTAAAGTTGAGGTGACTGAGATATAAGTCTTTCCTCTGGAAATCTGTCACAAGGAGATCTGCAGATAAGCAGACAGTTACAACACAGAGTGCAGAGTGATTTTAGGGGTGTTTTAGGGGAATAATTTGAAAGAGCAATAAAGGGCTAACCAGGCCTGAGGTGGCCAGAGAAAACTTCTGGGTGGAAGTTAGGCTGAGTTGGATTTTAAAGGATGAGTTGGAGTCGTCAGATACAAAAGATGGTATTATCTCATTATTTTTTAATACTTTTTCCCTCCTATTTCCAACCTTCCTTCCTTTGAAAGGAAGACATGTTTTCAGGGAAAAAAAAATGTAAATGAATAAATGCCCCCTCTGGTTACTCTAATTTATAAATGGATTTTCGGTATCTCTGATTTGCTAATGGGAAGACTTACCCAAACTGTGTTTAATGATTTGGAGGAGAGATATAGCAAAAAAAAAACCCTCTACACCCTGAATATTAAGTAATCGGGGGATATTATTTTCTTGCCTTCCAGAGTGTTCTCATTGATAAAGATACTGCAAGTCGACTAAAGTCTGTGATTAACACTACTTTGATCATCACCAACATACCCTACATTGTCATGGCACTGGGTGTGTTTTTTGGTTTGATCTTCACTTGGCTTGCATGCAAAGGACAGGGATCCATGGATGAGGTGAGCAGTGGCTGAAGGAACTTCTCTCTTACTGGATAACTTTATCTGAGGAAGTCAACTGTACTTCATTGAAGGGCTGTCAACTGGCTCTATCACCCAGAATCCTCAGGATGGATTCTGAGATTTTATGCTGAGCACAGTGACTTCGTGGTTACATCACTACTAAACCAAATGGGAAGCAAGGGGAATGTCTCAAAGAGGGAGGAGTAATACAATAGTATTGTCCCATCTTGGGGGCTGTCTTCATGGATGTGGAATCCCTGGGAGTAAGCTTAATGTTTCTGAAAATAGCCAGAAAGGAGAGGAAGATCATTTAACAGCTAAACATCTGGGCTTTGGTGTCAGACTGCCTAGGTTCAAATCTTACTTCTGCCCTTTAATGGTTATGTGGCACTAGAAACTGTGCCTCAGTTCTTCCTCTGTAAGGTGAGATAAGAGAGCTTGCTTTTGGAGGTTTTTGTAAGGATTAGATGATATAGTAAACAGAAAGCAGTTGGCCCAATGTTAGCATTTAGTAGGAGCTCAATAAACATTAGTTATGTGATGAAATAATTCGAAGATTGTAGAGCAAGGCAACCAGAGACTTGCTTGGAAAGAATCGTATTATATTAGAAGATACCTATCACTGAGTCGTCACTGCATAAGAAATGACTGGCGCAGGGGAACAGTAACTTTCTTGGAGTGAAGGGAACCCCCTCTACCCCCCCTGCCACTCCCCAACCAAATGGATGGGCTAAATAAGGTTAGGTTGGCCTCCCTGCGTGACCAGCCAGCCAACCTAGCTCAACCTTCAATAAGCTTTTCCTGTGGGATCCTTTCTTAAAATTCTCAGCAACTTTCCTTTTTTGCAACAAAGGCTTCCCCCCACGCCCCTTCTAGCTGCTTCAGCTAAGTGTCTGAAGCAAATGTAAAGTAGGAAATGAAATAGGTTGAAACCATCTCAATAATATTAGCTCAGATTTCCCTGTGTTCTATATTCTTCCATGATTTCCCTTAACGTGTGCCCATCAAGTTAGCATGAATTAGGTGTGAGGCAATTATTTTGCCAATTCTATGTGTGGATCTCACTTCCAGTATGACGTGCCGTCACTGAGATTTCCATAAGCACAGGTGATAGCCCATGTATGTATTACTACTCTACAATTAACTACCTTCATGGAGTCAACAAGCAAGCAATGATTGAGCAGCCCCCACCTCTGAGACATTGTTCTCTGACAGGTTTCAAACCAGGGAGGAGCCAAAGCCATGGAGTGTGATGAGGGTTATAGTCCAGGTGGATACCAGGAAGGGCACTGCTCTGGTATCAGGGGTGGGGAAGGGGAGGTTGGAGCAGGCCTCGCGAGAGGGTGAGGGCTGAATGGCAAAGCAGCAGCAGGCTGAATGACAAGAGAGGTGAGTGTGACAGCCGACATCTTGTCAGTCTCCCCTCCTTTCATCTTCCTCCACCTCCTGCACCCCAATGTTTTCCATCCTGGGAGAACTTTTCTGAAGTGAATACCTGACCTCTCTGTCCCCTCTCTTCCGAGTCTCAGGGAACTCCAGATGAAAGAGCACCCCTCATACGAACCTAACCTAACGAAGGCCCGAGCTTGGTGAAGGAGTCCTGTGACCGTCCTGACAGGGACCCAACATGAGGAAACTATCCACGTCTTCACAGGAATGTTGCCTGTTGTAGTGAGGAGGGAGGAGACCCTGTGCTGGCAAATGACCAGAGCATTCTGGCAGGAGGTTAAAGAATGGACTGACATGGTTGCCTATTAGGCTTTATAAAATTGTTTTGTTTTCCATGTGTCTAGCAAGTATTTAATAAACTCTTGTATAGTAATTTTTTTGTTATCAGGTGCTGGTAGCTCCAGAATTTTGTGACCACTGTTGTGGTTAAAATGTATCTGTATCGCTTGTTAACGTTCCCTGGTCTAACCTTACTCACTAAGCTTTATTCACCAAACTTTGTGCTCAAAATATATCAATACTATTTTATGTTGTATTCCTCCATTCATTTCACCCCCAAAAGAGAAGTAAATAAGAGTTCGGAACCCAGGGTAAAATGGTGGCCTCATTCAATACATCATTAAAATGCATCTTATTTCCTCTTTAAAAAACGTGATTTATTGTATTTCATGCTAATCTTCAGTTCAGAATTACTCCAAGAAAATAATTCAGTCTTTTGACTACTTTCACACTGGCTGCAAACCAAGCAGGGAAAGGGTAGGGTGAGGGGAGGTTATGCAGTGGAGCAGTACCCTGGAGTTGATAGTGATAAACCCCTGAGGCTTTTGTATTTGTACTTTTGTGAATTTAGAGAATGCAAAAATAATGTTGGTGAGGACATTCTGCTCATAAAGAGTAGAAGTAAATGCTGGTTGTGTATTTGTGGGTAGCCTGGATTTTCTTTTTTTTTCTTTTTTAGTTTAATGATCTTAATGTGGAAAGGTGCTTCTGGGAGGTGTCTAATTTTTTCCCCCAGTCACCCTTGCCAAATATGATACCCTATTAAGTACAATATTATTGAGTGATTCTTTGTGCAGTTATTATGAGTATGGGAGATCTCTCCATATCTAGCTCAGTGTTTTTCCTTCCTCAGATCTGGTGCCTTCCAGTTCTATGGCTCACTGTCACTCACTGAATAGAGAAACACGTGCCTTGCACTTCCTGCGACAGTCGTCTTGCTGACAGAATGAATGATGGTGTTTTAAAATATTGCACAGGAAATGCTTTAAAGAAAGAAAGGTCCCTGGGCACCCAGGAATAGAACTATCTCTCCTCAGAAGACCTCGTGGTTTGCAGTGCCACTAAATCAGAGGGTTAGGAACCATCATATGTTACAAGTTCAAGCATATTTAAGGGAATTTTCTTCCTCCTCAAAGCTCACTATTCATTTTTGATTGAGAAACTTATATAGTTATCCAGCAAAGTGCACATAAAATTTCTTAACAACTGAATCATTTTATAGGATTTTCTGTCTAAAACTGGATTTCAGTGTAAGCAAGTGAAAAAAAACAAGCCATGGATTTCACAAATATAGCTTCTGATTCCTCTATGGAGGCAATAAATCCCATTGTTTGCCCTAATTTCTTTCTCTCTACACTAAAGCAGGATGTGACATGTTCCCTTCCTAAAGGGGCAATTCATTGACTTCCAACTTCTCTATAAATTAAGAGAACTTATAGATATCCCAAATCACCAAAATGTGGAAAACTAAATCGAGAATATCTTGTCTTCAATAACACCAAATATCTAGATTCTTTAAATTTCTCAATATTAAACTATGTAATTGGCACACCTTCTTCTTTGGTGCATCCACTTACCCACACCGATAAAACTGGTAAACCAGTGCGTATTCATTGTTTCACCCTATTATCAGAGTATAGTCATCTGTGAGGAGGAAATTTTTAAATACTATGAATGATAACAGTTGATTTACACTTTAGACTGAATTCCACACAGGCAAGGGAGACCAAGAATATATTACCGCCATGTGATTCTTAATAGTTATTTGGCTTGGAATCCCATTTGATATTCTTTCTGAAAAATCTGTGGCAAACCCAAAAGCTGCAGTCAAGATTATAGATTGGAAGAAGAATGAATGAATGTGCCTATTGGCTTTAGGTTGAAAATAACAAACTATTCCTCATGCATTATCCTGGAAAGGCCCTCAAAGTCTTCGTGATTCTCATAATCACAGAATATGTGTGTCCTGTACTATGATACTCCACTTAGGGAAAAACCAGAGGGAGGCTACCTTGCTTCTCTCAGAGAAAATTGAGAGTTAGGCACAGGACAGCAAATGGGCTTTGTCACTTTTAGCTCAAGGCTTTTCCTCCTGGACTTTATTTCCTCATGTTCTAGAAAGATTGCTAATGGTCAAGTGGAACAAGTACTATATGACTAACCCCTATTGGGGTTTTTACTTAAGGTAGGCTCTTTTTTTTTAAAAAAAAAGATTTTATTTATTTATTCATGAGAGACACAGAGAAAGAGAGGCAGAGACACAGGCAGAGGGAGAAGCAGGCTCCATGCAGGAAGCCTGATGTGGGACTTGATCCCAGGTCTTCAGGATCACACCCTGGGCTGAAGGCGGCACTAAACCGCTGAGCCACCTGGGCTGCCCAAGTAGGCTCTTTTTTTAATTTAAATTGCTTGAGATTTGAGTTCTGCAGAAGGTGACCTTCACACTTGGGCATTATTAGTGGACTTAATTGCTCATGGCTATTAAACAGAATACTGAGCAGAATGTTCTTACTGTAGCTTAAATAGTTGGTTCATTTCATGTGATTCTTGACGTGTTTACTTCTATCCTTAATGCAATGGAGTATTTCGCTAATAAAACTATTTATATGAAATTGCACTGGAAATGGTATGTCATCAGATGACCACTCATCTCGAGAGTTTCATTTGAAAGATGCTCTTTGCCTCTTGACAGATGCAGGCCTGAATCTCATCTGTTGGGCCATTTGTGACTTCTGTTCAGCTGTGGTGGACAGTTCTAGGCAGCCTGACAAGTCGAACTTGAAGCAGGTCCCATACTGTGCTCATCTGCCCGAGGGCTTTCTCCAGAACCCTGGAAGTCCCACAGAAGCCCTGAGGGCTCAGGAGACCCAGGTAATGACCCTTAACCAAAGGGGCAGGAGTCAGCTGATAAGTACTTCAGTCCTCAGAGGTTCATTCTATGTGGTTCCTCAACTAGGACTGCCCACAGTAGGATTGCCTTCATATCATCATTTCTTCCTTCCCTGTCTCACACTCCCCAAGCCCCCCTCCACCGCCACCCTTTCGACTGCTGCTTCCTCCCAAATAACCTACCTGCACTAACATCCTTATTCATGCCTGCTTCCAGGTAAACGTGAACTAAGTGCATGCAAGTCCACCCAGAAGGGCCTGGCAGGGCCAGAGAGCTATGGGAGAGGTAGTGGACCTATGTTTCTACAGACATTGCTACTGAAATTATTAGTCTCCAAATTAAGACTACCTTTAAAACCTTTCCCATCCAAATAATACTGCATCTTATTTCTGGAATCAGAGCAAATTAAGATCAGTCATAACATATCTTAGCTCAGTGTTATAAATGTCTTTATGTATCAAGGACACTTGATCCCCAACGTATGTGCTTCCAAGGAATCCTGAATTTGATTTTAGCCGGCTTATGTCGTAAGGGGAACTCTGAATATCTATTTCTGTTTTCTCAAAGGTATATAGAGACATCTGGAATGCGGTAACATACCAATCTGCATTATTTCAAATCAAGAAGAACGGTCCAGAAAATATATTTAAAAGAATACTGATAAGGGGTGACATGTGCTGCCAGGTATTAAAGCATATACATACCCATGAACAGTAATTAAGAAAGTGTGGTATAGGGTGAGTGATAGAGAATAGAAAGTCCAGAAACATGGATACACACCTAACACAAGATAAAGTTCCCATTTCCAGTGATAACTGTAGTCTTTCATGTATTCGACTAATGTATATTTTATTTTTAAACCTTAATTGAGCCATAATTCTCATGCCATAAAAATTTAAAAAGCACAACACAATGGTTTTTAGTAAATTTACTAAGCTGTGTAGTTTTAGAACATGATCACTTCACTAAAATTCCTCATGCTGGTTTATAGTTAATCTCCGTTCCCATTCCCAGCCCCAAGAAGCCACTAATCTACTTTCTCTGTATAGATTTGCTTTTTCTGGACATTTCATAGAAGGAAACTCATATAGTGTGTGGTCTTTAGGGCCTAGCTTCTTTCTACATTATACTTTAAAATAATGTATTTTGGGGATCCCTGGGTGGCGCAGCGGTTTAGCGCCTGCCTTTGGCCCAGGGCGCGATCCTGGAGACCCGGGATCGAATCCCACGTCGGGCTCCCGGTGCATGGAGCCTGCTTCTCCCTCTGCCTATGTCTCTGCCTCTCTCTCTCACTGTGTGCCTATCATAAATAAATTAAATAAAATAAAAATTTTAAAAAAATAAAATAATGTATTCAACAGATTTTATTAGGTAGCCCCTTTATGCCAGGCACTATTAACTAGGCTACCGGATCTTACAGTCTACCAGGGGAAACAGCAACCAAATAATCATAAATGTAAAATTTCAACTAAGTTTCATGATACTCTGGGAACATGGCTTGGAATTGAAGGAAGGCTTCCCCAAAGAAGTAGCATTTACTGAGACTGAAGACTAGGTGTAATTAGGCAAAGTGAAACATTTCAGAGGAATGAGGTCATGGCCAGGAACAGGAAGAAACACATTTACAAGTAACAGAAAATATTTGCTCGGAGTTCAGAGGGAAGAAAAGTGGAAGATAAGGTTGGAGGGAAAGGCAGGATCCAGGTCAAGTTGGGTCTTATTAGGCCACTTTAAAGATTTTGGTCTATTTTTTTTTTTTAAATTTTTATTTATTTATGATAGTCACACACACAGGGAGAGAGAGAGAGAGAGAGAGAGAAACACAGGCAGAGGGAGAAGCAGGCTCCATGCACCGGGAGCCCGACGTGGGATTCGATCCGGGGTCTCCAGGATCGCGCCCTGGGCCAAAGGCAGGCGCTAAACCGCTGCGCCACCCAGGGATCCCGATTTTGGTCTATTTTAAGACCAATGGGAAACCATTGAATGTTGTAAGTTGGATTTTGGGAGACGGGAGAGAAATGGGACATGTGGCAGGTTTGTTTAGAAAGGCCTACACTAACTGCAAGGTGAATGAATTGGAAGAGTCTACATGAATGCAGGGTGGTCAGTTTGGAGGCTGCTGTGTTAGGTGGGTCCCTTTGGGGTCTCCGTTGGCATGCAAGATGGATCTTGCCTGGGGGTGTCTACCACAAAGCCGCATAGCAGGGGCTTAATTGGGGAAAATAAAGATATATAGGGGCAGGACAGCAAGAAAAAAGGCACAGATCCTCCATCCTTCTTGTCATCCCATGGAGAGGCCAATATGGGCCAGAGTCCTGTTTGGTCTCACAAAGGAGCACACACATCTGCCTTCTAGTCCCCTCTTTTAAGGAGCAAGCATGAAGAAACAGTCCTGTCAATGAAGGAATGTACAAGCCACCAAGCAACAGGCAGTTGGGATTGAGGTGAATGCTTTATAGAAATTGTCTGTGAATGCAGCTGCCTATGGAATGTTACAGTCTCCACCACTGGGGTAAAGAAAACTCTGGTTCCATGGGACCTAAGCTTGGGTGCAGAAGGGGAAACTTAGCCACAGCTAGCTTGTTGTCCAGGCAACCCAGAATGAAGTCACAGTGCAACAGTCCTGCTCATTGCACTTTAGGGGTTACTGCAGTGTCTAGGTAGGGGTTGGCAAACCTTGTCTATAAAGGGCCAGATGAAAAAGTTTTGGCTTTGCAAGCCTCTCTTGTCACAACTACTCAAGTCTGCTCTTGTATAATAAAAGCAGTTGTAGACAACATGTTAAACAAATGGATGTGTCTGTGTTCCGATAAAACTGTATTTATACAAATAGACGACAGTCCACATTTGGCCATCATTAGCTGATCCCTGATCTAGGCAAAAGATTATGGTAATTTCAATTGTGGAGATGGCAGTGGGGATGAAATATTTTACAGATGTTTAAAGGATAAAATATGTGGGACTTGAAGATGAATATGGGAAAGGCAAGGGAGAGGGACAGGTCAAAGAACTCATTCATCCGTTCCATGGTCCTGAGTAAGGTCTGTCACGGGGGCAGGCACTCTGTTAGCAGTAGGGATACAAGTAGTAAAAACAAAAACAAAAACAAAACAAAACAGTTCCCTACCTCACAGATCTTATATTAAATCTGGGAAGCAATAAATAGGTGGTAGTAAGTACTAAGAATATTTAAGTAGCCACAGTGACAAGACAGGAATGTGTTATTTTAGAAAAGGTAATCAGGGAAGGCTTCCTATGGAAGAAACATTCACCCATTCCTTTCATCCCCAGTCTTTCTCCCCTTCCATCCATTATTTCTGTGATTTCACTCTGCGGGTTCTCCTAGCTCTCCAGCCATACTCTCTCAGGTTCCCTTGAGGGCTGTTTGTTCTCTTAATTCCTGTGATCAGCTGCAACTTCTCACTTGGTAACTCTTCCTGACAATCTCATTGACTCCCTGACTTCAATGACAACCCAAACACCTACAACCAAAACACAAATCTCTGTTCAACCTCAGCCACATGTACCAAACACCTGCTGGATATCCTCAGCCAGACTGTCCCCAAATCCAGAAAGTAAAAAAAGGGAAATTAATTTTTCCTTGTCTTCGTTCCAAATTCCCATTGCTGGGGAACGGCATCTCCATCTACCCAGTTGTACATGCTAGGAAGCAGGACTCTTGCTAGACTCCTCCCTCCCTTCCCTCCACATCCCATTAGTCATCAAGGCCATCTGCTCTGTGTCTCACCCTGCGGTCCTCTTCCCTGCATCAGTGTTCTCACTGGGACTCCTGCAGTTACTATTGCCATGATTTCATTTTTGAACAGGTAAACCGTTTACATTTTCAAAAAGCATAAAATGGGTTTACAGTGAAAAGTCTTCCTCCACCCTCTTCATCCTCCCAGAGGCAACTAATTTACTCACTTTTTAATATATACTTTTCCAGGAATAATTTATACAAAAATGTATATTTATATATTCTAAACCTTTTGCAGTCACTAAAATTGTAGCATGCCATAGACAGTTTTCTAATTGTTTTCTATGTAATACATCTTTGAGATCTCTCTTTTCAGTAAAGAGCTTTACTGTTCCCATTTCATGCCTGAATAGCATTCATTTGTATAAATGCTGCTTTTTAAGCAAACCCGTTTGCTTCCAGTCACTGGTTATTATAAACAATGCTGCACCAATAACTTTGTATTCCATAATTTTGCCAAATCATTTATAAGATAAATTCCTAGAAGTAGCTGGGTCCAAGGATTTGTAATTTTGATAGACACAATGGCTTTTGTTATTTTTTTTATTTAGGTATTTAAGCACACAGATTTAAGAATCAAATAATTCCGTAAGGTTTGTTATTAAAGAAAAAAACAAGGAACCTAAACAGGTACCCTTCTCAAAGAAACCTGTTAACACCTTTTTTTTTTTTTTTTTTTACCACCATGACTATCATACTTTGGATGATACATTTGTTGCTATAATGTGTGAAATAAAGTAGATGCTCAAAACATACATATACACCTTTCCTAATTGATATAGTCTTTACTTGCTTCAAAACTTCCCACTATTTGTACAATCTCCATAATTCTTCTTAATTTCGTGTGTTCCTTTTCTTTTCAATGATTGATGTAAAATAGTGGAATGTCTTTTCTCTCACGAGAGGTGAAGTATCCAAATTACAAAATACTGCAGACAAAAGTTTGCAAAAATTAATTTGATGCAGCATATATTCTGAAATATTAACAATAAATTCAATTCTTTTTGAAAATCATCACATTATTATCAATAATAAATAAATAAATAAATAAATAATTATTACCTTATTTTACGATAATGATTGTAAATACAACTCATTTGAGAGAACAGGAAATAAACACTTTCACCTGCTGGTTTCTAGCTCATCACCTCCTTTGTCTTTAAGATGACAATGCTAGAGAGATCAACACTTGGGTATGAATTGCGGACACAAGTGTCAACATTTTCCATCATCTTGAGAAAATTTTCAGTACCATACAATCAAAAAATCAATTTCCAATACACCTGTACATGCCTTAAAAAATGCATTCATGAACAAGAACAGGAAAAATACTAGGCCGGCACTACACTGAAGGCGAGCCGGCGTCATGAGGACCCTTTGAGTCCCTTGGCTTGGTCAGGATATGCTCCCACATCTGAGCGGAACAGCGACTCTTCGCCGAGATCCACGCCTGGCCTGTAAGATAAAAACAGCCAAGATAGTCCGACCACAAGGGCCACCACGAGATTCACCACAATCCGGGGCTGAAGAATCTGTCCCTCAACACCGGGGGCCCAGGGATCCCCGGGTGGCTCAACGGTTTGGCGCCTGCCTTTGGCCCAGGGCGCGATCCTGGAGACCCGGGATCGAATCCCACGTCGGGCTCCCGGTGCATGGAGCCTGCTTCTCCTTCTCTCTCTGCCTGTGCCTCTGCCTCTCTCTCTCTCTCTCTCTGTCTGTGTGACTATCATAAATAAATAAAAGTTTTTTAAAAAAAAGAAAAAGAAAAAAACACCTGGGGCCCAGAGGCTACCATTAACAGGGGACGGTGTGTAAAGGTGGATGCGGTCACTTGCCCTTCGCGGACTCAGAGGTAATACGAGAGCAAGAAAGAGGCTCGGAAAGAGGCTAAGAGGCTGCTTCGTGAATTCTCGTGGGTTTCAGCATCACCCACGGGCTCCACACTGCGGAGACGAGGACTGCGCCCTCCCACCTGGTCCTCGCTACACCCCGGTGTTCAGCCTAACGCACACCTTTCCCCAGGGCCCTCCCTGAGGCACTCTGTAGGGCTTCCGGGCGGCGCGCCCCAGAAGCCCTCAGGCCCCGGAAGCTGCCGGACCGGGCGCGCCCCCGCCAAGCCCCGCCCCCGCCAAGCCCCGCCCCCGCCAAGCCCCGCCCCCTGCGCCTTTCCGGCGTTCCGGCTTCTCAGGCTAGGCCAGAAAAGGGCCGGAACTTCGTAATCCGACGGCAGTTCTCCGCGGGGCTGAAGAGCGGGGCGCACGCGGTGTGGTGGGAGCGGCGCCGCACTCCCCCGCTCCCGCGACATGGCCTTCAATTTCGGGGCTCCCTCGGGCGCCTCCGGCACCGCCGCGGCCCCCGCGGCCCCCGCGGGTGAGTGATCCTCCCGGGAAGGAAGGGAGGCCTCCGGTCCAGCCCCTCGGCCCGAGATTGTCCGGTTCGGAGACCCTGGGGGTCTCCTGGCTGCTTGGGGACCTTAGGCCCTTCAGAGCGGGCCCAGGCGGCTCCTGAGGAGGCCGCGGGGGATTTCGAGGCCCAGCCGGTGGCTCTGCGGCTGCGCGTGGGTCCCCGCAGAGCCTTGTCCTCGTGCGGTTCGCTTCCCGCCGCCGGGGAGTCCTCCGAGGGGCCAGGCAGCGGCTCCGCCTTCCCCCTGCCGGAGACCGGCCTGGCTCTCCCCGCGCGAGCCTCCGGGGCCCGCGGGAACGTTGGCTCGGCTCCCGCTGGTTGGGGCCGGCGGGCCGCGGGCGCTGCACTGCGGCCCCCTCGGTCCTGGCCCTTTGGTCCGTGCTGCGGGACTTCACGCTCCTGCTCCTTCTCCTGTCCCCGCCTCCACCTCCGCTTTCTTAACTCGCTGCAGCTAAGTCAAGGTTTGTCCTTGTTCACTTCTGTGAAGCCTGTGACTCTTCTAATCCTTTTCTTGCTTTCTTTTCCTTTTCTTTTCCCTCCCCCGTTTTAAAATTTTGTTTCTGTGCCTACACGCCGATCAGGATTTGGTGGGCTTGAGACTGCCAACTCCACCGCCAGTGGGTTTAATTTTGGGGGTTTCGGATTAACTGCTAGTCCTGCAGTGAACTTTAATATTGGGAATTTCGGTGTTTCTACTACCGCGGCGACTCCGTTCAATTTTGGTAACAGTCTGGCAAGTGCAGGTAGATACTGCGGGTCGTATGTGTGACGGATGTTGGGAGCTGGAGTCCAAGAATATTGTGTAGCTCCTAGTTTTGGGAAGAGCAGCGACTTGTCTAAAGAGGAAAGGAAATTCATTTCCTAGAGTCGAATCAAAAACATTTGTATCTAGTTTTGACTGTCTTAAAAGATTTGGTTTTTAGAAGTCTTGCAAGTTATAATGTTCCTTTGTTAAACTTGCGTTTAATTGGGCAGAATATACCTTCCAAGTGATAAGAATTTGGAACGGATTATTTTAAGCGGAATATGTTTCCCAAATTGTTATGTTATCTCTTACAAAATAGAAACTCACCAGTCAGGCCCTTTTCTCTGGGATTCTTGGACTCCTGCAGTCATTTTTTGCATCTTTCCTGCATCTTTCATTGCAATTTCATTCGACTGTCTTTGTGTTTCCCAAGAGAAACAAGTCTTATACGAACAGCAACATCCTGTATTTTTAAAATGTGTTTAACAACAATAATGTATTTCTTTGGTCCACTCGGCAGATTAGGATGCATTTCTATAAGATATGTAATTATAAAGAGTCTTGGTTTTTTACAGGATTTTTTGAGAAATAAGTAGAGCAGTTTAATTTGTCAGATAGCATTGAGTCTAGAAGGTAGGCTAGACATATTTGTATTAAATGATAATGAAGATTTTAGTCCCTATATGGATTGAAGCTCATTGGAAATTTGCAAAGCACAAACTATAATGTGTTTATATGTATATATAAATTTAAAATAGGTCTGTGTATTTTACATAGTTATCCTATAGAAAAGTCTTGTTCCTCTGCTGCTCGTATATGAATATATTGTCCATCTTCTCTTGCATTATGCCACTTCTACCCATGCCAATTATATGCATTTTGTAAACATTATTTATTCCCTAAAATTTATTTGGAAAGTCTGGTATTCGTGCAGTATTTGTTAGAGCAGTACGAATATCACCTCGCATCTGATTTGAAATGTTTTGAAGAATACGTTTGAATTCCTTGAATTCCAAAGATAAAACAGTCCTTGTCGTTAAGGTATATTTAAAGTGATCATGTATCACTGTCATTTACTGTCATGTACATTTATTTTTCCATTTGCTTAAAATTGGCACTGGGTAAAACAGCTGTATTTTGAAATTTGTGTTTCTGAACAAAGCCACCCAGCTTGTAATTCAACAACAATAAATAAACTTATTGGTATTTGCTTGATTTCATGTTCATTTCGAGTTATCACTGTTAAGTGTTGAGTTGTGATAATATAACTGTATTTTAACCACTTCTATGTATGTTCAGTAACTGAACCTTCAGCAACGGGATGATAGAAATTCTTATTTTTTTATTTTTTTTAAGTTCTTGTTTATTTTGTATCTTTACAGATTCACTATTACATTTTTGGTATTAGGAACCATGATAAGCTACTAATATTGTGTAGCCAAATCAGAGTATATCATAGTTATTCTATGTAAGGGAAGATAATGAAAAAGATTGAGAGCAGTGTTTTATACTTTTAGTTGATTTTTTTTTTTAGTCCAAGTGTTTACAGTTTGCAGTACTGCAATAGAACCTACAAGAAAATAGCGTATTTGGTTATGACTACAGTATGCAGTCTATTCTTGAGTAATTTTCCAAATCAAAATTATATGGTGAATATCAAAAGGTTGAGGTTTTTTCTTTCTTATATCCTTTATGTAACATGAATCTATCTCTTAAACTAGAGATTTAGGAAATTAGAATTGTGAAAAACTGTGGCATAATGCAGCACTAATGGTTCAAACATTTTTTTTTTTAAGATTTATTTATTTATTCATGATAGAGAGAGGGGGGGGGGCAGAGACACAAGCAGAGGGAGAAGCAGGCTCCATGCCGGGAGCCTGACGCGGGACTCGATCCCAGGACTCCAGGATCGCGCCCTGGGCCAAAGGCAGGCGTCAAACCGCTGAGCCACCCAGGGATCCCCATTTTTCTTTAAAGTCTTTTTGGCACCACATTGGTAATCAGGTAAAAACTGACAATAAGGAAAAAAACATAAAACAATATTAGATTGTCTATATTCCATCCCATTCATATGTCAAATTACATATGGTTAAGATTAGTTTCATCTCTAAACTTTCCTAAAAATTAAATGTGTGTATCTGTCTGTTTCCAAACTGGTGCAGAGAACTATGCTAGTTCCACTCTCCTTTCCTACTACCGCATTCCAGTTGGAGCTTGTCGCTTGTCGTCGTCGTCGTGTTCCCCCCCGCCCCCATATCTCTTTCTTCAAGAAACACATTCTTGTTGTAGGGAGGTCAGTATGTTTCCTTTAGAAAGTTGCAAAGTTTTCATGAAGACTAAGTAGAAATATAAGCTGAAATACAAGTTAATTCACCAAACCCAAAGTTGCAAACTGGCCCCACAATCTGCTGATATGATGTTTCACACTATTTTAAAAACATTTGAGATGCCTGGGTGGCTCAGTGGTTTAGCACCTGCTTTCCACCCAGGGTGTGATCCCGAGTTCCGGGATCAAGGCCCATATCCCTGCATGGAGCCTGCTTCTCCTTCTGCCTGTGTCTCTGCCTCTCTCTCTCTCTCTCTGCTTTATGAATAAATAAATAAAATCTTTAAAAAAAATAAAAACATTTGAGTTTTTGCCCCTCTCCCCCAAATGAATTAGGGTTTAAAATTCTGTAAATTTCACATAGAAAATTTAGATCCTCTGTTTCTCTTAGGAAAAATGAAATATACAACACTACGAAACTACCATTCTCCCAGAGCAGTAATCTGCTAGAATTTAGAAATTGCTGCCACTTTTTTTTTTTTGCTGCCACTTTTAAAAACTCTTCACATTGAACAGTTCTATCAGTCAGTAAACATCCAGTCTATTTCACTCTTTAATGTTATCAGCCTTAATCTTGTAGGCATTTGAATTTACAACTCCTACACTAAAAAGTGCATGCATAGTCATTTTAGAGTTTGTTAAGCATGGTAATAGGCTTAACGTTTTCTTAGCTGTAACTGTTAATCACCCCTTGAAGGGTATATATTGCATTGTGGTTATTTCTATTTTAAATACTTAGTCATTATTTCTTGCAACATACTGACTTCATGATGAGTAGCGTAGTTTTTTAAAAACTGAAGTTGAAAGTAGAGAAAGGAAAAATTAGATCAAACTATTTTGTCTTTTTATGTGGCAATGATGTAAAATAATTTGAAAAAGAAATTAATGCATACAAAAGATTCTTTCTGTTTTATTTATCCTTTTTAAATTAGGTGGGTTTGGAGGATTTGGGACAACATCCACAACAGCAGGTTCTGCTTTCAGCTTTTCTGCTCCAGCTAACACAGGCGCTACTGGTAAGAAGGTATCTAAATCATTTGTAAAGTGAATGAGCTAGACATCAGCTTTTTTTTTTTTTTTAACTTATGCAATTTAAATTTTTCCTTCAAAGGACTCTTTGGTGGTACTCAGAACAAAGGTTTTGGATTTGGTACTGGTTTTGGCACAACAACTGGAAGTAGTACTGGTTTAGGTACTGGCTTGGGAACAGGACTGGGATTTGGAGGATTTAATACACAGCAGCAGCAACAGCAAACTAGTAAGTATAAGAGGCCTTCATCCTACTTCAAATATAAAACTGTAACATATACCTAACATTGAGTGCACTGTTCAAAACGCTTTAGTGGATATCTCTTTTTTTGAAGATTTATCAGTATTAGTTCCACAAAATTCCAAAAGCTACTTCTCATGTTTATATATGATGATAGCAACTGGGGAGAAGAGAAAACTGACTGACAGGATGAGGATTATTAACCCTCTGTGTTTAATAGCATTCTGTTGAACTTTCGTTGCTGAAAGTAACACAGAAAACAGTAGAAGTACAGCTTAATGAATTATATATAAGGTGAGCACCTGTAACCACTGCCTGTGCCAGGCAGTGGCCCTGGCCAGCCACTTGAGAAGCTCTTCACATTGTCCTAACAGTCACTGCCCTGTCAGAGGAACTATAATTCTGTCTTTCACATGGTGACCTGTTCTTTACTTGACTTTATAATCTTGTCATGGAAGTGTATAAACATTATTATTTAGTTTTATTTGTCTTCAAACTTTGTTAAGTTCCCCTGTTAGCCCCTTTTTTTTTGTTTGTTTTTACAGTTTGCTAAATCAGATACTTGTTCTATACATTTTTTCAAGTCAGGACTTTACTAGATTGCATTCCTGTGGTATAGTTTAACATATTTTGTATGTAGTCTTCTCTGTTTCTTGTAAATTAGGTTGGATCTAGACACTTTGGCTGCAAGACTATATTGCATTCTTTATTAAGAGGTATATAATGTCAGTGATGTCTTTTTTGTTGTGTTAGCAGTAGCCATTGGTGATCAGTACTTAGATCCATTAATTTTTTAGGGGTTACAAAATGGTATCATTCCAACCCTGTAACTCCTTTTACATGTATTTTATAAAGAAAAACTTTATTATTTGGTTGATTCTTTTCCATATTTATAATTAGTTTTCATGGCGATAGAGTTCTGAAGACCTGCAGATGACAAAGACATTTGTGTAAACCAGAAGCCCTCTGCTCAAGTTTTTCAGTTGATACGGAATCTTTATTAACAGTTTTATTAGTCTCAGGGTTCACGGCTGTAGAGCCCTCCCAAGACCATCTTTTTGATTACAATCGACACGGCTGCTCCGTTCCAGTGTTCAATAGAGAACAGCTTTGAACTCTCCCTTTCCTCCTGTAGTTTTTGCTTCCTTTTTTCTTCAGCAGATATTCTCCGTTGCTCATCCTTTTCTTTTTGTTCTTTCAGCTTTCGTTGTTTCTCCTCCATTTGCCTCTCATATTGGATCCTGGACTTTCTTTCCTTCTGAAGGATCTGGTTTCTTTGTTGGCTTCTTGTCTCTTTTCTTCTCTGCGCTCCTTCGCCAATCTCTGCTTCACATCATTTTTAAGTACGGATCCATCGATGACTGGTCTAAATGTTGATCTTATATTTGAGGACTGTGATGGAAGAGAGCAGAGACCACTCTGATTCCGTCTTTCTTCGGCAAGGGCATGAGCTGCAGCAACCATCCGTTCGCGCAGCCCCCTGAGGGATGCGCTGCGGCCGGCGCGCTCCGCCCTCTTCCAGCCGAGTGGAGACCTCTGGAGGCGCTGGGGACCCAGTGCGCAGGCTCCGGCGTGACAGTCTCCTATAATTAGTTTTCAAAATAAAGAGTTGGTTCTCTATGGTTCTCCAATGGAGACTACATTTTTTTTTAATGTTAGGAACTTAAGTATTTCAACTATTTGGTATTTTTTAATCTGTTGCAGTTATTATCCTTATCGATGTTTAAACTGTCCCATCTTTGGCCAAAGATACAAGCCTTTTCAGGTTGGCTTCCAAGTCCTTTGACACAAGCTTTGAATTAGTCTTTGATAGCATCCTTACTAGCTGGTATGGCGATATGTTCCAGGGTTATCTTGTATGATTAATTTATTTAATTCTCACAAGAACCTTATGAAATAGTACTCTTGTACCACTTGACTGACTGTATGTTGTATGTCAGGCATTGGGTATATAAGGTTGAGAGCCACAAAGCCTGTTTATAGTCTACTTGGAGATAGAATGACAGATATCTAATTAGAATAACAAATATCCATTTATACAAAATATATATATATGTGAAAGTTCTAAAATGAATCCCTACAAGGTGCTGTGGAATACAGAGGAAGAACTGAATCTTGAAAGAATTAGGTTAGATGAAGTCAGAAAAGGGTATTCCAAATAGAATAACTGACAAAAGCATCATTGCATGGCATAGTATAATGAATTTGGGACCTGCTGCTGTAAGGAGTTTGAGTTTAACCTACAAAGATTATGGAGCTGTTGTCTTATTTTTAAAACAGGTGCTTGCTGTCTGGCTATACCATCTGTGATATGTCTAATCTCAGTTGTCTGCTGACTTCCTGGGCAGTGCCTCTTATTCATTTAAAACTTCAGCAGTTGGCTGTTAGTCTTACTTTACTTTTCAATTTCTATCTGGGTTAAACATCACATGGCTATATACTCAAACAGCCATGCCGTCTACCTTTTTTTCCAAGACCTCTTCCATTTTACCTAAACAATTCTTACCCTCGACCTTGGCAACATCTGAATATGTTCTAATTTTAAAATCACTAACATGAACATCCCACAACTTGTTCTTTTAGCCTGCCTTTATAAGAACTTCCAATATAGCTGTTCCTAGACCTCATTAGGTCTTTAAACCAGTGACATTGTCATTTAGACTATTTTCTATTCTTTATCTGCTCCTTCTTGTCTTCACTATCCTCTCTAATTAGCTTAGATTCTATGTCCTTCCATTTCAGTCACTGGTTGCCAATATGCTAAACTTCCTTGTCCTTATATCATGTGCCTGGGGGGAGAGGGGGAATCCCAAGCTGGTGTAAGCCCAACTGTCTATCTAGATACTGCTTCAGAAAATCACACAATACAAAATATTGAATAGTACCCCTAAATTCTTAATCACTGACCTAACTTGGGGCCTCAACATTACCTGGTAATCCTTTGAAGTTTCTCTATTTAATTTATTCTCCAACCTTCTATAATAGTTATTTTAAACCTTTATTCTCTTCAAATCTCAGATTTCTCTGTTCTTATTTTCAGCAGATAAAGCCTTGACCTCTTCTTCATAGAGAAAACAGTAATTCCTCATTGTAATTCCTTCAGGTTCCCACTACTAAATCTGTTTATCTACCTCCCTCTCTGCTCATCCTTTTCTCTTTTCACCTGTGCTCTGGATCTCATTCTCCCAAAGGACCCTTGTACTGTTGGTTATTCTTTCCAGCAACCCCCCCCCCCCCCCCCCGCAATAGTCAACTTCTCTCCCCAGTGATCCTTCTTACCCACATTTCAACAACCTGGAGTATCTTTTTCCTTAAAACAGTAACCACAGAACAAAACTACTTTAATCTCATATCACACTTCAGTTGCTGTTCTCTGTTCCCCTTTATAAACTACATGAAATAGTTATGGAAGAAGGGGATCCCCTTCTGTTGTCTTCTGTTTCCTCTTAGCCCACAGTGATTTGGATTCTGTTATTTTTTACCCAAATAGTTAAGATCATTAGTCCTCTCCGATCCAGTGAATACTTAATGTTCTTTATTTATGAAACATTTAACAGAAAAATAAGAGAGTAAAATGACCGTATATTCTACTGAATAGATTCCCCCAAAAGTCAGAATTTGCCATACTTGTTTTATCTATCTCCTTTCCTCACTCTTTTTTTTATTACTGAAGTATTTTAAAGCAAATCCTAAACGTGTCTTTTCACCCTCACTTTACTATGCCTCCCTCTTTAAAAATATGGACATCACTCCAACTCATTATTTATAATTCCTTGGTATCATCTAATACCTAGTCCTTAATCACATTTCCCTATGTTTCATTCAGGTTTTCTTCAGCTGGTTTATTCAAATCATGAGCCAAACAAGATCCCCACATTCATTTTATTTTTATGTCTCAAGTTTGTGTGTTTTTTTGTTTTTTTTTTTTAAGAGAGAGCGTTGCTCAGAGAGGGAGGAGAGAGAGAGGGAGAATCTTAAGCAGGCTTCCCAACCAGTGCAGAGCCTGATGAAGAGCTGGATCTCACAACCCTGAGATCATGACCTAAACCAAAATTATGAGTCGGCTTAACCAATCCAGCCATCCAGGCACCCCTCAAGTTTCTTTTAGTATAGAGAGTTCCCCACTCCTTTTTGCCCCATCAAGAATTGGAGAAACTGGGCCAGTTGTCCTGTGAAATGTCCCCAAATCTAGGTTTCCTTCCGGTATCATTTAACTTTATACCCCATTTTCTAAAGCTAAATGAAGTTAGCTTTATATTCAATTCAAGTTTGACTTCTTGGCATGGATACTTTGCCAGTTGTGCAATGTACTTCATACTGCATCACATTAAAAGGTTTATCCCTCTTTTGATGACCTAAGATTGATCAGTGGGTTCGGGGGATGACACCCAATCTGTCTTGTAAAGTTCCCCATCAGTCTTTAACTTAATGGTTTCATTCATTGATGATCACTGCCTCAGTTATTTTATTAGGAGTTGCAAAATGGTGATTTCTGCCCTCCCTTTCACACTAAAATTCTGTAAAAGGAAGTTTTTCTTCGTCCCCCAAGAGTGCTTGGTCACCCTAAAATATAATTTGTATAGGAAAGGCAAACTAAATTCTTTTTAATTGACAAGGTTTTTTGTTTGTTTTTAAAATATTTTATTTATTAAATAGAGAGTACACACACAAATGGAGCAGTAGGCAGAGGGAGAGGGAAAGGAAGAAGCAGACTCCCCGCTGATAAGGGAGCTCGATGTGGGGCTCCATCCCAGAACCCTGGGATCAGGATCTTAGCTGAAGGCAGATGCTTAACCTACTGAGCCACCCAGGTGCTCCTAATTGACAGTTTTTGTAGGAAGTTATTGGTAGCCTGATTATTTCCAGTGGTGTCCAAGGAATTGAGGTTTTAAATTTTTTGATCTTTTAAAAAATATAATTCTGAATGCATGAGTTTTATTAAATTGAATGTGCTTGAGTTGGTTGCATTTTTTTTTTTATGCTCAAATTGTCAGTTTTGGCCAACATGAGCCCTTAATTTCAACAATAATTTGGTCAATTTTTTTCTTACCTCATTGTTTAGTACTCCTTATTGCTTCTGCTGGTTTATGTTCCTCTTCCTCTTTACCAGAGATTTGCATATGCTGTTCATCTTTGCCCCTACATCATGGCCTGGCTGACCTCTTCCTTTATGCCTTAGTGAATTTCTAGTGGAGCAGCCTTCTCTTGACCTTCCGCGCCCCACTTGATTAGCTCCCTCATTTAGTACTCTCATAGCCTCTGTACTTCTCTGAGGAATTTACCACAGTTGTTACTATTTGTTTGATATGCTTTCTGTTTACCACTCTGTCCTTAGTCTTTAGCTCTGTGTCTGATATTTAATGGATACTCATTCGTGAATGAAAGTATGTATTTATGTAGGAGATATAAAACCTGGAGAGACTATGTATTGTCAGAAAAATGTAAGGGAAAAGAGCTTTTCAAGGAGGATGTGTGTTCAATGAAAGTTGAAGATTTTTCTTTGGGAGCTGAAGGAATAATCAACAGCATGAGGGCCCTGGGAAGGTAGAAAGGTATGAGAAGTCTAATATATTAAGGTTTGAAAAGAATGTTTTGGATTTTGTAATTTGAGCTCATCTATTCCTTCCAGCTAGTGAACTCTGAATAGACTAGTATGGCTGTAATCTAGTTTGAAGTGTAAAAAGGAAGCTAAATGTAAATCAGTACAGATCATAGTTTATCTCATTTAGAAGTTGAGATAAAGTGTAGGAATTTTTCTTGGCAAAAGCTACAATAAATAGCTTATTGAGCTTTTAATAAGGATTCAAATCTTCTGGCTTCTAGTCCATTTCTTTTTTTTTTTTTTTTAAGATTTTTATTTATTCATTCATAGAGATGCAGAGAGAGAGAGTAGCAGAGACACAGGCAGAGGGAGAAGCAGGCTCCATGCAGAGAGCCTGACGCGGGACTCGATCCAGGGTCTCCAGGATCACGCCCTGGGCTGCAGGCGGCGCTAAACCGCTGCGCCACCGGGGCTGCCCTTCTAGTCCATTTCTTTACAATTTTTGTATGTGCCCATTTGGAAATTAATACTGTTCATCTGGAAGGTAATAGACCCTTTATAGCCCTGTAGCAGCCCCGATGATCTTGTGGTATTTAGAATCTTTAGACCTGAAAGAAAACTTAAATATCATCTAATATAGTAGCCCTAAAACTCAAGAGCATTTGGTGTTCATGATTTTTCTCTTACCTATGTACCATTTGTATTATTAAGAATTTTCTTTAAGTCAATTTACTTTTAAATATTACATTTATTTTAAAAGGAAGATTTGTACTACTGCTATACATGGAAAACCAGTATTATTTGCTATAAAGGCAGGATAATTGAAATTAAGTACACAGAAGATGTAATAATGTTTATAAGTTCTAATTAATACTTTTGCCTTAAGCTCTGACCTTTAGACTTTTTTCCTTTGATATAATATGAGCTAAGCAGGTGTTTGTGAGGCATTAAAAGCAGGCTAGCATTAAACTGAGACTTATTTAAAATATATTATCAGAAAATTAAAAGATTTTTTTTGTTGTTGTGTGAATTAGTCCATAATTAGTAAACTGTTGCCTGACAGCTATAATTTCATATACTGGGGATATTTACCTCCCACTTTGGAAATACTGGCCTGATCTAACAACTTTACCCTTTCTGTTGGAGAAATTGTAGCACAGAGAAGTGACTTACCAAACCTACACACCCTGCTAAGGTTTTTAGCTTAGAAGCCTAATGATTAGTTCAACTGTTCTTTTTACTGTATATTTTTTCATAATAAGAGAAGGAAAAGTGCTTGATATTGATAAAATACTGATACAATGATTCTTTTTATTTTGTATCCTCCAATTTGTATTTATTATATACATATAACAGCAATAAAGATTTAAGAACCAATTCTGCAACTTCACTAACTTTACTTTTCCATATCATATCCATTCTTTTTTTTTTTTCTGTTGACGTGGGTCTAATAAGGAATCCATCTAGTGTACTGGTAATGGAATTATTTGTATTAAAAAGATAATCATTAGAAAAGTAAGTTTAACATTATAAGGACTGCCCTAGTATATTAGTTTCCTAATGTTGCTGTAAGAGTATCACAGACTTAGTGTATTAAATTCATATTTATTATTTTACAGTTCTGGAGATTAGAGATTCAGAAATGGGTTTCACTGGGCTAAAATCAAGATGTTGTTGGCACGGCTGTGTTACTTTAGTCTTTCTCTGCATTTCCTGGCTTGTAGCCCCTTCATCTTTACATCACTTTGACTCTGACTTCCCCCTTCCCTCCTTAGGACCTTTATAATTGTGTTGAGCCCATTCTGATAATTCAGGATAGTCTGAACAAAGTCTCTTAATTTAAGCACATCTACAAAGTTTCTTATGCTGTGCAAAGTAACATATTTACAGATTCTGGGGATTAGGATGTGTGTGTGTGTGTGTAGGGGTGCGTTATTCTGCCTACCATACCTAGGATCTGAATTGATTGATTCTTTTTTTTTAAATACTAATTATGGGGTACATTTCTAGCATTAGGTGGTCTCTTCAGTCAGCCCACACAAGCTCCTACCCAGTCCAATCAACTGATAAATACTGCAAGTGCTCTTTCTGCTCCAACGCTGTTGGGAGATGAGAGAGATGCTATTTTAGCAAAATGGAATCAGCTGCAGGCCTTTTGGGGAACAGGAAAAGGATATTTCAACAATAACATTCCACCAGTGGAATTCACACAAGAAAATCCCTTTTGCCGATTTAAGGTATTAGTATTTCTTTTGATCCTCACTTGAGTGTGTGTAAAAGAGAATATGATACTGTATTTAAATTATAGAAAGAGAGAAATTGCTTGGTCTTTAGTACTCCTTGAACATGGTGCAATTATACTTTTGTTTTAAAGATTTAGAAGTTATTAAATTGAAGTGATTTCTTACATATATGTGATTAAAGGTGACCAGAATATGAATGAAGGAAGGTGTGATTAGAATGTAATTTAAAACTGAGGAAAAAATGTTAACAGAAGGGGAGTGGTCTGCTTTGCATCTATAAAGAGAGACCCAAAACAAGAATTTAGTGATAATTCATCTAATATTGTCCAGGAAAGTACACCCTGGCCAGCAGACAAGAGTATAAGTTCTGTTTGTCACTATTATAGCTGCAGTTAAAGCCATTAAGACAGTTTAATCTATTTGCTTTCTGATTTCCATGCCTACCAAACAACTTGCCTCTCATTTGAATTTGACTTCTCAGAGATTCTGTTTCATCAGCAGTGAGAGTATTTAGGTCAACTTGATGGGATTTTTTTTTTTAAGATTTTATTTATTTATTTGAGAGAGAGAGTGCACACCATAATCAGGTAGGGGCAGAGGGAGAGGGAGAAGCAGAATCGCCACTGAGCAGAGAACCAGATGTAGGGCTTGATCCCAGGACCCCAGGATTGTGACCTGAGCTGAAGGCAGACACTTAACCAACTGAGCCACTCAGGTACCCTGATGGTGTATTTTTCATAACTAATGTATTACAATCTAGTTTATACTTCAGCCACTTTTTTTTTAAGACGTACAATTTTTTTTAGAGAAGAGCACACACATGTGCAACCTGGGTGAAAGGCAGATGGAGAGAGAGCATGGGGCCTGACATGGGACTGGATCTCATGACCCTAAGATTCTGACCTGAGGGTGGTGGGGAGGGGCAAGGAAAGAGGGACAGAGAGAATCTCCAGGATATTTCCCACTGACTGAGGAGCCCTACACGCAGCTGGATCCCACAACTCTAAGATCATGACCTGAGCCAAAATCAAAAGTCAGATGCTCAATTGAGTGAGCCATGCAGGTGTCCCGGCCACTTTTCAATGGCAAAAAAATCACTTTTTGTTGCCTAGGTCAGTGTGTAATCAATATGTATGTAAGCCTGTGTTTGAAGCTTCAAGGCTGAGGATCAGACCCTTTTCAACATGGTTAAATGACAAAAAGTGACTAGATTATCTTATTAAAAAATATCTCTTTATCTCATCACTCTAACAAAAAGTTTATTTTTATTTTTATTTTTTTTATTTATGATAGTCACAGAGAGAGAGAGAGAGAGAGAGAGAGAGAGGCAGAGACACAGGCAGAGGGAGAAGCAGGCTCCATGCACCGGGAGCCCGATGTGGGATTTGATCCCGGGTCTCCAGGATCGCGTCCTGGGCCAAAGGCAGGCGCCAAACCGCTGCACCACCCAGGGATCCCCCTAACAAAAAAGTTTTAAGTGTATTATATAGTTGAAATTATAATACTTTTGTTAAGTGACTAAGGGCTATACCGTGGACATAGGCTGAATATAACTTTTTTTTAAGTTGATGTATAACATACAAATGGCAAAATGAGAACTAGTCTAGAATGAATTTAAGTTCTTTAAAAGTTGCATTATGGGGTACCTGAGTAGCTCAGGTGGTTAAGTGTCTGACTCTTGATTTTGGCTCAGGTCATGATCTTGGACTTGTGGGATGCAGCCATGTGTAGGGCTCCTCAGTCAGCAGGAAGTCTGCTGGAGATTCTCTCTGTCCCTCTTCCCTTGCCTACCCAAATAAATAAATAAATAAATAGTTTCTTTTTTTTTTTTTTTCTTTTTCTTTTTAAATTTTTTTTATTTAAGGATTTTATTTATTTATGAGAGACACACACAGAGAGAGAGAGAGAGAGAGAGAGGCAGAGACACAGGCAGAGGGAGAAGTAGGCTCCATCCAGGGAGCCCGTCGCGGGACTTGATCCCGGGTCTCCAGGATCAGGCCCTGGGCTGAAGGCGGCGCTAAACCGCTGAGCCACCCGGGCTGCCCTGTTTCTTTTTTTCAAGTTGCATTATAAATGGTGACAAGAGAAAAGGCTTCTATCTAAAAGAGTAATTCTTTAGAAAGGTATAGTATGTCATATTTAATATTATGTTAAAAACTAACATTTTTCATAAAGTTTCATATTACATGAAACCATAAAATGATGTATTCTTTACAGTAAGTTTGACAGTGTTCTATTTTTAAAATATTTATATTCAGAAAAAAAAGTATAGTAAATCATTTATTTGTGTATCTAAAACTTAGTTTAAGATTCCGTAAGTCAGGGATCCCTGGGTGGCGCAGCGGTTTGGCGCCTGCCTTTGGCCCAGGGCGTGATCCTGGAGACCTGGGATCGAATCCCACGTCGGGCTCCCGGTGCATGGAGCCTGCTTCTTCCTCTGCCTGTGTCTCTGCCTCTCTCTCTCTCTCTCTCTCTCTCTGTGTGTGACTATCATGAATAAATAGGAATTAAAAAAAAAAAAAAGATTCCGTAAGTCATGGGGCACCTGGGTGGCTCCATGGTTGGGCATCTGCCTTTGGCTTAGGTCGTGATCCCGGAGTCCTAGGATCGAGTTCCACATCGAGCTCCCCAGAGGGAGCCTGCTTCTCCCTCTGCCTGTGTCTCTGCCTCTTTCTGTGTCTCTCATGAATAAGTAAAATCTTAAAAAAAAAAAAAAGATTCCATAAGTCAATATAGCAAAATAAATTAGGTCTTGGTCCATGACTTTTGAAACAGTCATTTTTATAATGACATGCAGAATTGTTTCATCAGAATTCAGGAACACTCAACAATAATGAATATTGAAGTTCTTCAGAGAAGATGCTATTTGGTTACTGTTAAAGAGGACATTTTAATTTCACTATAAGTTTATATTATCCTTGGGTAAAATGGTTTCTTTATACTTTTGTCATGACCTGGGGCACAGTGTGGTGGGAAGAATCATTCTCTTCATTAGTAGATATTAAACTGTTTTCCCTGTTTTAGCAGGTATTTAAGGTATTAATATTAAACATCTGATGTAAAATCTGTACATTTTTAAAAATTTTGTTTACTTTGTCATTCTACAGGCAGTAGGATATAGTTGTATGCCCAATAATAAAGATGAAGATGGGCTACTGGTTTTAGTTTTCAACAAAAAAGAAACAGATATTCGAAGCCAGCAACCGCAGTTGGTAGAATCATTGCATAAAGTTTTGGGAGGAAACCAGACACTTACTGTAAATGTAGAGGGTATTAAAACATTGCCAGATGATCAGTAAGTATATGTTAAATATATTTATTTCTGTGTGCCTTGGTCCAAAGAGAGTGATCCAACAGCATTTTTGTTGATAAAGCACAAATTAAATCTTAAAGCAGAATGTTATCACTCAACTAGTGATTATTCAGTATTTATAGCAACATTTGTTTAAAAGCTTTTTTTCTTAATCTTGGAGTTCATTTTTTTTTCTTGAATTTTTTTGTTTTTTAGAGGTGGGAAAGGCAGAGGGAGAGAGAATCTTGCAGGCTCCATGCCAAGTGTGGAGGCCAGATGCGGGGCTTGATCTCACAACCCTTATATCTTGACCTGAGCTGAATTCAAGAGTCAGACATTTAACTGGCTGAGCCACTAAGGCGCCCCTTAATCTTGGAGTTCTTAATTTATCAGATGCTAATAATTCTTTAGATTTTTCATTCAGAAACAGGAAGAAACAGTAATCATGGCTGTGTATACAAATCAAAGGCCACAAAGATGTTACTGGAAAGTTTTAACTGATGACTGTTTATGCTCCTTCATGGATAAATATGACTAATTTACTTTGTCTTCTGTATAATTTTTACACTTAGTGGCAAAAACATTTACTTGGGGATATTTTGGGTTAGAAGAAATTATTATTATTAGTGAGATATAATATGTGAGATAAGCTTCAATAGGATCTCTAAAGTACTTCTCAATTCTGGAAAAGATAGTAATGTTTACATAGGACTTTGCAGCTAAGCAAACCTTTTACAAATATTAAAATGTCTGTCTCATTTTAATTTTATTGTTATCATTTAAGTTGATTTGTAAGTGAACATAATATTAAATAAGTAAGGGTTCCTCATTTTCCAAGATTTAAGAAAATACTCTTTTAATTCTCTAAAATGACAATTTCTGAATTCAGCTAGCACCTTTCTGAAATCACATGCTGCACTGTTACTGAGTTGTATCTATGAGTTGTGTGCTGTTGTATAACTTGTTTATTTTTCCCCCAGGACAGAAGTTGTCATTTACGTTGTTGAACGCTCTCCAAATGGTACTTCAAGAAGAGTTCCAGCTACAACACTATATGCCCATTTTGAACAAAATAATATAAAAACACAGTTGCAGCAACTTGGTATAACCCTTTCTATGACTAGAACTGAACTTTCTCCTGCACAAATCAAACAACTTTTACAGAACCCTCCTGCTGGTAAGTTTTTAGTCACAGAGTTGAGGAAATGAAATATTTAGAAATATATAAGCTTCCTCTATTTTGGAATGTGTTAGTTGATTATTAATAAAACCAGTGTTTATTATGTCTGCTAATTTGGGACAAAGTTTTAAATGTTTTTATTGTATGTATTCATTTAGCTTTTTTATTATATAGCTAATATGTTTGTTAGAAATTTTGGAAAATATACAAAGAAAAATGGTCCATAATCCATCTACCCAAAGATAATTCACTACTAATATTTTTATTTGTTTCTAACTTATCTCTTGTTCTGAGTATTCAAGTAAAATCTAAATGTGTTCTCATAAGGGGTACCTGGGTGGCTTAGCAGTTGAGCATCTGCCTTTGGCTCAGGGCGTGATCCCAGGGTCCTGAGATCGAGTTCTGCATTGGGCTCCCCGCAGGGAGCCTGCTTCTCCCCTCTCTCTGGGTCTGCCTCTTTCTCTGTGTCTCTCATGAACAGATAAATAAAATCTTTAAAAAAAAAATGTGTTCTCATTGAAAAGGATTATAGATGGCATAACTAGATGGACTGTATTACAGACCCTCTTTATCTCCTTTGCACAGAAATAGCTACTACTAATGATTGTACTCTATTAGTCCTTTATTTTTTTATTTTTTTTTAAAGATTTTGTTTATTTATTCATAGACACAGAGAGAGAGAGAGAGAGAGAGAGGCAGAGACACAGGGAGAGGGGGAAAGCAGGCTCCACGCAGGGAACCCGATGTGGGACTTGATCCCGAGTCTCCAGGATCACACCCAAGGCTGCAGGCGGCGCCAAACCGCTGCGCCACCAGCGCTGCCCTCTATTAGTCCTTTATCTGTGATTTTAATATAACATATATATATATGGAAATCCTTTTAAAAAAAGGATTCTGCACTGTACATCAATTGCAACTTGCCTTTTCAGCTATACTATTTCTTAGTAATTCCTTTTTTTTTTAATTTCTTTTTATTGGAGTTCAGTTTGCCAACATATAGCATAACACCCAGTGCTCATCTCATCAAGTGCCCTGCTCAGTGACCATCACCCACCCAGTCACCCCCAACCCCCCCCACTCACCTCCCTTTCCACCACCCCTTGTTCATTTCCCTGAGTTAGAAGTCTCTCATTTTCTGTCTCCCTCTCTGATACTTCCCACTCATTTTCTCTCCTTTCCCCTTTATTCCCTTTCACTATTTTTTATATTCCCCAAATGAATGAGACCAGATAATGTTTGTCCTTCTCTGATTGACTTACTTCACTCAGCATAATACCCTCCAGTTCCATCCACGTCGAAGCAGTGCTTAGTACTTCCTATCCCATGTCAGTAAATGGAAGTATTCTTTTTAATCTACATGGAATACCATGGATGTACCTTACTTCACTTGAGTTATGTGTCATTTCTTTTTATTATTATAAACTGTGCAGCAATTAAATATCCTTGTAAATATGTCTTAGAACAAATAGGTGGACATGTATTTTAGATCTCTGGTAATGAAATTTTTGAGTCAAGATTACGTATATTTTATGTATTATTAGATACTGCCAAATTGCTCTCCACAGAAAGATGTACACACTGTAACAGGAATGTGTTATTTTCATATTTTTCATTTTGTATAGCATTTTCTTACTTTGATCTGTTTGCCAACGAGATTATCAGTCATTTTTCACCACTCTGCAAAAATCACTTTTCATTTGCATTTCCCTGATTTCTAGTAAAACTGAGCATCTTTTTGTATGTTTATTAGCCACTTTTGTATCTTTTGTGAATTAAGATTTCAAGTAATCCATTTTCAGTAAGTGTTTTTGTCTTCCTTTCTGATTTATAGGAGCTTTCTACATTCTGGAGGTTAATCTATTATCCTGTAGGTTATAGGTATTTCCTTTCAATCTATAATTTTTTTTTAAGCTTTATCCTACAAAAATTTTCATTTTTGTAGTGGCCATATTTGATAGTCATTTTTCATTACAGCTCCTGGTTTTTTTTTTTTTTTTTTTTTTTTAATCTTACTTTAGGAAGGCCTTTCCCATACAGATATTTAAAAGATGGAGAATAGTTTTTTGTTTATTTTGTTTTCAGAAAAATTTCTCCTTTTTGATAGGTGTTGATCCCATTATCTGGGAACAAGCCAAGGTGGATAACCCTGATTCTGAAAAGTAAGTGTATCTTCAACTTATTTTCATATAAGAACTAAAATTGCTATCAGGGAAGCAAACAAATGCCAACCATTTATTATATTTCTTACACTTGAGGTGAATTTTTTCATTGCTTTTTAAAGAATGTTGACCCCTGGCTTGTTCAGTTGGTAGAGCATGGGACTCTATCTCAGGGTCATGAGTTCAAGCCCCACATCGGGCATGGAGCCTAATTAAAACATAAAAATTTGCTGGTAAGGATGTATAGTATGGTGAAAACTTTGAAATCTAAACTTTACTTGTTTGTAAGATAAGGTTGAATAAAATCTGTAGTTTAATATTATGATTTTATAGTCACTGATCTGCCTTTGAACCCTAGAAATTTATTGTGAAATTACATGAATGTGGTTATGAGAATTCTAATTTCTTGTACTTTGTAATACTCATAAAAAACTTTAGATCTGATAAGTTGGCCACTTGAATTTCCTCAGGTTAATTCCTGTACCCATGGTGGGTTTCAAAGAACTTCTTCGAAGACTGAAGGTTCAAGATCAGATGACTAAGCAGCATCAGACCAGATTAGATGTAAGCATTTAACTTCATTCTCTGCCTCTGGGAATAATAAAAGAGATTATGCACACTTCTTTTTACCATGTGGATTACTGTTTTATAACAACATAGTATATGCTGCAAATTAACATTTACAGTTTTGTGCAACTACTTAATATAGTGCCTCCAAAATCATGTAAATCTGATTTGATATATTTTAACAATGAATTGAGAATTGTTGGCTTAGCATTGTTATTAGGCTGTTATTTCCATTTCCAGCCAAGGAATGCATGTTACTTAATTAAACACTCTTATTTATGATGCCTTACCAAAATGAAGGCTACAATTGTGATTCTTTGTTGGTATAGTATAATTGTAGATTAATGAAGCAAACTTAAATTATTGAATGCTTAAATCTCTTAATATCTTTCTAAGTAGATCTTAATATCTTAATAATATCTTATTAAGTAGACTGTAATCAAATACTTAAAAGTTACCTTCAGATTCTCTGATGTGATATAACCTGTTGATTCAGTCTCAATAGTGAAAAGCTTACTGCTTTAGGAAGTAACCCATTTCATTGTGTCAGTTAACTCAAATTGATATAAATTCTTTTGCTTACATTAATTCAGTATCTGCCTAGGTATAATTTATACCCATTTTCTTGGGCATTAATTTGCAGGTGATCGCTGTGCTTCCAATGGTAGCACTACAGATATTTGAACATCATAATCATTTCTTCCTTTTTAGTATTCTCTTCTCTGGCTATAAATTTAAGCATGGTTTTTCATGTGACATGATTTCCAGAGCCCTGATTATCTTAGGCTGGACACTGAATTTATCAGCATCACTTTTAAAATGAATTGCCGCAGTACTTACTATAAGTAGGGTATGACCAAAGTTCTTCAAAGTAAGACCAAAGAAGGTATTACCTCTATTTGTGTTAGTCTTAGTAGAGGTTTGTCAATTGAACAAAGTTTGTGGTCTCATTGATTTTTTTCTAATATTCTGTTTATAATTTCATTAATTTCTGTTTTTAACCATTTTCTTGATTCTGCTTGCTTTGGGTTTTTCTTTTTTCTAGTTCCTTAAAGTAGCAGCTTAGGTTATTAATTTGAGACTTTTCCTAATATAGCATTTAATGCTGTTAATTTCCTTCTAAGCACTGCTTCAGCTGAATCCTACAAGTTTTCATAATGTTAAATTTTCATCTCTGATACATTCAAAATATTTTCTAATTTCACTTGAGAGTTCTATTTGTTTGAACTTTGATTTCTAGTCTAGTTCTCAGAAAACTTTGTATGATTTCACTTTTAAAGTTTTTAACCTACATGCCTTTGAAAAGAATGTGGATAAATGTTCTCAGGTGGAGTTTTCTATTAGTGTCAGTGAGATCTAGTTGGTAGATTGTTTAGTTCTCTATTGTTGATTTTTCTGCTCACAAGTTCATTGTGAGAGGAGAGTTGGGAATCTCCAGCTACAATTATGGATTTGTCTTTTTCTCCTTTGGGTTGTTGGTTTTTGCTTTGTGTATTTTGAAGGTCTGTTTCTTCTTTTCTGCCTTTTGTTTTTTGGGGACACTTTTTAGCATTCTAAAATTTTTTAATTTAATTAGTTTTTAATTTAGTGTCATTTCAACAATTTTAAGTGATTGCCCTAGGGCATTTCTCAGTGGGGTTGAAGGTGGTGTTTTGTCCGTGGGGGCACATTTGGCAATGTCTAGGGATTTGGTTGTTAGAACTGGGGGTGGGGTAGGGTGGTGCTACAGGCATCTACTTAGTAGAGGCAAGGATGCTGATAAACATCCTAGTGTGTAGACGACAGTGCCTCTGCAACAATTATCTGGCCCAAATTAATACAGCAGTCCCCCCCACCCCCCGCCCCCTTATCCACGGTTTCACTTTCCGTGGTTTGGTACTCCTGGTCAACCGCCATCTGGAAGCAGATGATCCTCCTTCTGACAAATCATCAGAAGGTCAATAGTAGCCTAATGCTGTGTCACAATGTCTACGTCATTCACCTCACTTCATCTAATCGGGTAGGCATTTTATCATCTCACATCATGAGAACAATGGTGAGTACAGTACAGTAAGATATTTTGAGAGACCACATTCCTGTAACTCTTACTATATTACAGTTGTTCTATTTTATTGTTAATCTCCGTATGCCTAAATTATAAATGAGGCTTTATCATTTGTATGTCTGTATGTATTGGAAAAAAACAGTAAATATAGGGCTTGGTACTATCCGTGGTTTAAGGCATCCATTGGTGGTTGTCCTCATGGATGAGGGGGGAACTGCTATAGTACTGGAGTTGAGGAAACCTATAATATCTAATAAAACACTAGATATTATAGTGTATCTCCTATACCAGTGGTAATAGGCTTTTCTTGGAGCTGTCAGCATGATGCTTGCTTCTCAGTTTTGGACTTTGTTGAGACAGGAGGGGGTATGCCAGAGGTTGGGGACTGTGGTAACTCACCACCAGTTTAGTGGCACTTCAAATTCAGTATCTTCTTCTGCAGTCCGCTTGCCACTATTTTTCAGAGTCCTCAAGTAGTTGCCCATGCATTCTTTTCAAATTTTATAGCTATATTAAATAGGAGAGATAGAATGGCATATACCTAAGTCCATTTTTGTTACACTTAACTTCACTCAATTTCAGGAGTTCACCGTTTACTTAGATTTTAATCTCTAGTCTAATTATATTGTTCAGGTATCTCCTATTATCTCTCTGCTTAACTCTGCAGTGCCCTTAGTTGGACAGAAAACTTTAATGTATGATATCCACTAGTAAGCCCTTGTTTTCTTCTTGAAAGTTTGCTCAAGAAATCATTCTTTACCCCAATGTCTGAGAGTCTCTTACATTTTTTCCTAAAATTTTAGAGTTTAACCTTCCACATTTGGGTCTTCTAGCCTTATGAAGTTCAAGTTTGCATAATAAGTGGTATGAACCCAACTTTATTTTTCTGCAGTGGGTCAGATTTTCTAACGTCATCCATAAATAAAATCCAATGTTATTTTCCCCAATGATTTATCAAAGCATTTATCCAACCAGGTTTATATATATACATATATAATAATATATATAATAGACATGTTATAGACATATATGTACATATATAAAATCATATATGATTATATATATGATGATTATATATATAATGATTTTTTATATATATATATATAATCAGTTAAATCACTTTAGATTTTTTTTTACCTTGTGTCTTTGTAATGTATTTTGGCGTGTGATAGAGTGAATCTCTGATCTTTGTTTCAGAGTTGTTTCATCTTTATGAATCTTTACTGTTCTATAACAGTCTTAGAATTAGTTTGTCAAAATGCTAGGATTTTAGTTGGAAGTGCAATAATGTATGATTTGTAGAGAACTGAATCTTAATTATTCCATTACGAACATGTTTTTTCTTTACTCATTGAGGTCTTTACTCATTGAAGTACTATCCTTTGAGACAGCTTTAAATATAGTTTCCTTAAAAACCTTGTGCAAAAACAAAACAAAACAAAAACCTTGTGCATTCTTCCTTGGGTTAATTTTTAGATTGCTTTAGTGTTTGTGAATAAATACTGAATGGTAACATTTGTATTTTTTCTGTTATTGCTGGTTTAGAAGACCACTGGTAGTTTCTTGTGTCTGGAAGCCTGCCAACTTTTCAAAACTGGGGTGGGGAAAGTGCCTAGGTTACATAATATAAAATATTGGTTACCTACTTTTGTTCCTTCAGCATGGCCTGTCACTGGAAAGTTTCAAAGGTGACACTGTCCAGGTGGACATACTAAATTTGTCTTGCACAGTAAAAACCCTGTTTCTTATAACCTCTCAATATAAGCCAATGCCACAGAATAATTGACTATGAATTATGGGATTGATTCAGGTTAGGTAGCCTTAATGAAATAGGATTTTAACTCTGTAAGGTTAAGACTTTATAAGATAAAACCATATGATTTCAGGCCAGGCAAAGAGCAAATCCAAGGTACAGAGGCATAAAAATGTATTTGGGTGTATAATTAGTATTCTTCCCTTTTCCCTCCACTCTCATCACTCCCTCTCAACAGTTAATACTGGACCATACTTTCCAGAAGTAGTCTTATGTAATTGTCTATTAAGCCCACTCCTGGATGTCACTTTATAGATATTAACTTTTTCCATTCATGAGCTGGTGGTTAATATTACTAAAAATTCCTCATTTCTGAAGTATGTTTTATTTTTCTGTACAGTGACTCCTCACTAAATTTCCTAGAGCTCTTAAGGAGCCTTTGAATGGTACTTTTTAGTTTTTATATGCACAAAAGGAAAGAAATATAAAGCAGATTTAAAGTGTGTATTTTGAGAGATGAATCCAATCTCATTTTAGAATTAGACTTTACATATAATAAACCTCATAAATATTTTGATGTCTATATTTCAAAACTTTCTTTTAAAAAACAGATCATATCTGAAGATATTAGTGAATTACAGAAGAATCAAACTACAACTATGGCCAAAATTGCACAATATAAGAGGAAACTCATGGATCTTTCCCATAGAACCTTACAGGTAGTAATTTGGAATTTTTTTTGAACATTTTTTAAGACTGTTTGACAGTGCCAAATATAGATTTTTGAAATAGAGAAAAACACACTGAAAGAAGTATTAGTGATTTGAACTGAAAGTACCAATCTTTCTCAGTAAAACTTAGAAGATGGAGAAGTCTCACAGGAGTGGGTAAAGAAAGTAAGTATATTCTAAAATTTACCTCTTATTGAAGGGTAGAAGCAGTGAAGACGTAAGTCATCCTGGTGCAAAGAAAACATGTAGCAAATCACTAACATCTAATTTTCATAAAAGTAGTAGGAAAAAATATTTGATTTTCAGTGTTAGAAGAAAAGGGGCTGTAACTATTAATAAAAACAACAGGATGAAAAACAATAGAACTTCAAAATTGACAAGAGGGAATAAAAGCATGAATAGCAACAAAAACTGAAATTATAAACTATCATGGGAACAGAAATACTACCTACCAAAATCAATGGTATAGAGCAAGAGCTATATGGCAGAGTAAAATTTATAGCTTTTAAGCCTTCATTTTAAAATACAAATGCAAAAAACAAAACCTAGTACTCAAGAAGTTAGAAAGACTATCCAGAAAAGCCAATAAGAGAGAAATAAAGATATAAAATGAGTGAAACAAGAAAACCATAGTACAAAAAATAAACTGAAAGCTCTTTCTTTGAAAAGATCTTTAAAATAGCTAAACATCTTATGAGACTGAAGAAGGAAGAGAAAAATTAGTAGTGAGAAAGGAAATATTCCTATAGATAACAGAACAGAATGAGAAAATATTGCATGCAATTCAGGGCAACAAATTTGGGAACTAGGGAACAGCTTAATTTTGCTGATTTCAAATATGCTAAAAACTCATCTATAGAGACACAGAAATCTTAAATAGACAAATACTATAGAAACAATTGAGAAACTTACTAAAGATCAGCCATGAAAAATACCAAAGCCAGATAGTTTAATTGCTGAACTTTGTCTAACCATTAAAGAGCTAATTCCAAAGTTACTATTCTAGACAAAAGAAAACATAGACCATTTCTCCATTTTAAAAAATCACTTTAAAACAAAATTCACCAACCGTATTACCACTCATTTAAAGTACACAATTCAGTGGTTTTTAGTCTAGTCTGTGCAACATTGCCACAATTTTAAAACATTTTTGATCACCCTAAAAAGAAACTCCATCCCTATCAGCAGTCACTCTCCAACAATTTCTCACCAACCTAGGCAACCACTTCATGTCTCTCTGGATTTGCCTTCTGGACACTTCATATAAATGGAATCCTGAGATACGGTCTTTTGTGACTGGCTTCTTTCATGTAGCATATGGTTTTCAAGGTTCATCTATGTTGTAGCATGTAGTAATATTCCATTATATGAATATACATTTTTACCCATCAATTGATAAACATTTTGGTTGTTTTCCGTTTAGCTATTATGAATGTTCCTATTAACATTTGTGTATGAATGTTTGTGTAAATGTGTGCTTTCATTTCTCTTGGGTACATAAACCTAGGATTAGAATTGCTTGGTTCTTTTTTTTTTTTTTAAGATTTTACTTATTTATTCATAGAGACACTGCTAGAGAGAGAGAGAGAGGCAGAGACACAGGCAGAGGGAGAAGCAGGCACCATGCAGGGAGCCTGATGTGGGACTCGATCCTGGGTCTCCAGGATTATACCCCGGGCTACAGGCGGTGCTAAACCGCTGCGCCACCGGGGCTGCCCCTAGAATTGCTTGGTTCTGTGGTAACTCTATGTTTAACTTTTTGAAGAACTGGTAAAAACTTTTCCAGAGTAGCTGCACTATTTTACAGCTGTTTTTGTTACCCCCAAATAAAAATCTATTAATAGATACTTCTAATAAATAGAGATACAAATTATGCTAAGTGAAGAAAGCCAGATTTAAAGGCTATATATGACATGATTCCATTTATATTATGTTATGGAAAAAGCAAAACTAGAGAGTTAACAGATCCATCCATAGTTGTTGCTAGGGGAGGTAGTAAGGAGAGAGGAGTGACTACAAGGAATAAATGGAAATGTTCTCTATCTTGATTGTGGCAATGGTAACATGACTTTGTCAAGATTCATAGTAACTGTACACCTAAAATGGGTGAATTTTGTTTTGTGTGGATTATACCTCAGTAAATCTGACCAAAAACAATAGAAATGCAGTAGTTTTAAATGAAATATAAGCAAAAAGATTCCGACTATTTATTAAATCCTAAAGGAATAAACTGTGACTAAGTAAGGTTAATTTCAGGAATGCAGGGTTGGTTTTTATAACAAGAAATCTTATCAGCATGTAACTTATTATGATCAACACATTAAAGGAAAAAACATGATAAAGACTTACCAAACTGAACAGCAAACATTCAGAGAAGCAAAGCACTAAAATCACATTTCAGAAAGTAATATCCGATATTATTCAGTGTTATCTTGGAAGTTTTCATAAATATAATGAACAGGTAAGTAAGTAAACTAACTTAAACATTGGAAAAGATTATCTTTTTGCTATTTGCGAGTGGCATGATTGTGTATCTAGAAAATTCAAGGAAAAAAGCACAGATTATAGCTAGATCCAAGATAAATGTACAAAACCCAGCATTTTTTTTATACTATTAGTGGATATAGGAAGATATTCCATTTACTAGGAGGGAAAAAGTTGTCAAATACTGAAGAATAAATTTATGAGGGAAGTAAAAAATGTGGATTTAAAGTCTTTGCAAATAGACCTATAAACCATATTCTTAGAAGATTTACTATTCATTTTATAAGGTTAAAAATTACAACTTTTAAAGGCTTGATTAAAGTCTTTCAGTTTATAAAGTGTTTTGAGAATAGCTTTTGGTGGAACACAAATAGAGGGACTTGCCAGATTTTAGTACCTATTTTAAAGGTTCTTCAACAAATCAATGTGGGATATAAAGACAACAGAACAGAATAGAGAATCCAAAAATAAATGCCAGTATATCTCAAAATTTGGGATGACAAAGTGGTGGTGGTATCTCAGTTCAGTTGGTTTATTTAATAAATAATACTAGAGTAACTGGCTGTCTGGGGAAAAAATGGACTGTTCTGTCTTACCAGAGACAAAAATAGCTGGATTAAAGAGATTTAACTCTGTAAGAAATTTTGTGAAGCTACACGTACACCTGTAAGGATTGGAGAGATTTTTGGCCAGAAAGCCAGGAACTATAACCCAAACTGGCTATGTAATTAGAAAGTTTTCTGTAGCAAAAGATATCAGAAGCCATAGTCATGTGACAGCTATCCGAAAAAGAAAACTGGATTTGCAAATGGCACTAACTATTCATATTATACGAAGAGATCCTTTAATTTTTTTTTTTTTTTTTTAAATTGGGTAAGGAACATTTCTTTTTTTTTAATTTTTTTTTTAATTTTTATTTATTTATGATAGTCACACAGTGAGAGAGAGAGAGAGGCAGAGACACAGGCAGAGGGAGAAGCAGGCTCCAAGCACCGGGAGCCTGACGTGGGATTCGATCCCGGGTCTCCAGGATCGCGCCCTGGGCCAAAGGCAGGCGCTAAACCGCTGCGCCACCCAGGGATCCCGAGATCCTTTAATTTTGACCAAAAGAGGAAAGAATACGTGAAGGCAGTTCATAGAAGAGCAGGTGCAAAGTAGTTAACTATTAAAAGATGCTCCTTTAACTTTCAGGGAAGTACACTTTAAAGAAAAAAATGTAGGCTCCATTTACACTCATTACTTTGGGAAAAATTTAAACTTACTGCTGATTGGGATGTGGGGAAAAGGGTACTCTTCATGTAGCTTATGAATTTAAATTGTGAAACAGTCTAGCAGCTTCTTTTAGACTGAAAACATGCTTTTAAACCCAGCAGTCTCATTCTTGGGGGTATCAGCAAATCTATGTATAAAAACTGTTTATAACAGTATTGTTTATACCAAAACTACAAACAAAATATATACCTCTTAATAAGAAGAAGAACTGAATAAATTATTGGTTATTAATGCATGAAAAATTATGCAGGCATTAAAAACAAATTAGAGGCATTATCAATATGCTAAATGTAGACTGCCAAATAAAAATGGCAGACCTAATTCAAATCTCGAACTGTTAGGATTCTTGCTGTATTGTTAGTGTATTATTCAACTTGTTTTCTTTCGATAACTAATAAAGTTACTTACATAATTAAAAAGAGAATCAAGATTCTGTTGATATTGTTGGTGGATTTTCTTTATATAGGTCCTAATCAAACAGGAAATTCAAAGGAAAAGTGGGTATGCCATCCAAGCTGATGAAGAGCAATTGCGAGTTCAGCTAGATACAATTCAGTGTGAGCTGAATGCACCTACCCAGTTTAAGGTAGGTATTTGTAAGATCATAAAGCTAGAATTTGCTAGTCTTCAAAAGGGAATTTTGTATACTGGTTTTTATTATTAAGTTTTTTGTTCTCTTTAATCAAAACTTCCTTTCTAAAGTAGATGCTTAATGATGATGTTTCACATAACAGGGAGAATTAGAAAACTTTATTAGAGTAGTAACCATCTTTTTTAAAAAAGGAGATTCTCTCTGGTTGCCTGGGTGGCTCAGTTAAATATCCGACTCTTCATTTTCCACTCAGGTCATGATCTCAGGGTCATGAGATTGAGCCTCTCCCTGTCAGGCTTCATACTCAGCAAATAGTCTGCATGATATTCTCTCACCCCCCAGACACATACACACACATGTGCACATTTTTTTTTTAAGATTTTATTTATTTATTCATGAGAGACAGAGGCAGAGACACAGGCAGAGGGAGAAGCAGGCTCCCTGCAGGGAGCCTAATGTGGGACTCGATCCCAGGACTCCAGGATCACGCCCTGAGCCAAAGGCTCAACCACTCAGTTCAACCACTGAGTCACCCAGGTGTCTGCACACTCTCTCAGATAAATCAGTCTTTTTTTTTTTTTCCCTAAAGATTGTATTTATTCATAGAGACACACACACACACACAGAGAGAGAGAGAGAGAGAGAGAGAGGGAGAGGGAGAAGCAGAAGCAGGCACCATTCAGGGAACCTGACGTGGGACTCGATCCCGGGTCTCCAGGATCATGCCCTGGGCTGTAGGCGGTGCTAAACTGCTGTGCCACCGGGACTGCCCTCAGATAAATCAGTCTTAAAGCAAAAAACCTGTTGTTAGCAATTGTAATTTGACTTGGTCTTATATTTTTAGGGCCGACTAAATGAACTGATGTCCCAGATCAGGATGCAGAATCATTTTGGAGCGGTCAAATCGGAGGAAAGATATTACATAGATGCAGATCTGTTACGAGAAATCAAGCAGGTAAGTGCACTAAGCACTAGAGTGCACTTTTAAAAAGGTGAATTCACATCCTTTAGGTTTGCTATTACCCAAAAAACACAGTTGTTGACAAGGATGTGAATAAAATACAATCTGTGTGCATTTCTGGTGGCAATGTAAAATGGTGCAGCTGCTGTGGAAAACAGTTCCTCAAAAAATTAAACCTCTGTCTACCATATGATCCAGCAGTCGTTCTGTAGTTCTGGATATATGCCTGGAAGAACTGAAAGCAAACTCAGATGTTTGTACACCTATGTTCTTAAGCCAAAATGTGGAAGCAACTCAAATGGCAGATTGAATAAATAAACTAAATACGGTATATATACATTGTGGAATATTATTCAGCCTTAAAAACAAAGGAAATTCTGATAGTACAACATAGATGAATCTTGAAAGTATTATGCCAAGTGAATTAAGCCAGTTTAAAAGGACACATATTGTATAATTCCACTTTTACAGTATGCCTAGCATAGTACAATTCATAGCAGCATGGTGGTTGCTAGGGGCCTGAGGGGAAGCGGGATGGGGAATTAGTATTTATTAGTATTTAGGAAGATGAAAAGTTCTAAAAATTGTAGTGATTGTGCATACTATTGAACTGTATACTTTTAAAAATGGTTAAAATAGATATTTCTGTTTTGTATATTTTTACAATAAAAGATGAATTCAGTTATTAGAGGTACCAGAGTCCCCAAGGCACTGCTATTCAATGGGTAGGTGATAGTGGCAGCAGCAACAGCACCCGAGAGGTCATTAGAGATGTATAATCTCAGTCCTTACTCTACCTACTTAATCTACATTTTATTTAATGTCCGTGATTTGTAGTACATTAAAGTTTGAGAAGTAACTGCTCTATGTCCTATATTCCCAACCTGTCCACATATTAATTGTGATTATGTAGAGATATGGATCCCCCTCAGCCCTTAGGGGAGGTTAGGAGTGGCCAGAACCACTCCAACCACTTTTAGGCTCCTCTCGTTTGAAAAATTTGGAAAGTACTGCTCTAGCTTATTTTTCTTAGTGTAAATAGAGATTGATTTAATGAAAAATAACCATTGACTGTACATAAAGATATCAAATTTGTAGAACATATTAGGACGGTTGGTGTAGCCCTGAGGATTTTAGATGGTTACATTTGGCATCCACAAATCCAATTTTTTATTATGTGCTTTAGAATGGATATTGTCATTTTATACAGCTAAAGACCAATCTGGCTCCTAGATTCTTGGGAACTGAGGTATACGTACACTTGATTATATTCCATTGTATATACCTACAATAAAATTAGCTGAGAAGATCCAGCATATTGAGGTGAAGAACCATATTAAAGAGTTTATGCAGTACAATCTGGGATAAAACAAACACCTACCTAAAACAATGAAAAGCAGTATATTGTTTTGGGATTGAATCACATCTCATCACCTAGTTTATGACCTTAAGCAAGTTTCTTACCTGCATCTCAATTTTTGTATCTGTGGCACCACAGACCGCCTAAAAGAATTTTTAAATAACTTATTTAATACCCATGAAGCTCTTAAAACTGCTTTAACACTTGAGATACTTAAAAATGTTTGTAATTATAGTTAACACCATTATCATAATATACTTGAAAAGTTTGTTTTCAGAATGATTATTTTGCTAGTCATCTATATTTGAGTACCTTGCACTCTTCTTAAATACAAAATCTGCATCTTATAAAATTTACATCTTCTGTAAAGTTTCTTTTGAAGACTATTGTTCGTTTTTTTACAGTATGTTATAGGTCATAGAAATGTGTTTGCAAAAGATGTAATATGAATGTTTAAATATGCACATGCACTGTATTTAGGGCAGCTATTAAGTGCTGTGTTGCTAGTAAAATAGTGGAAAAAGTCCTTATTCCCATGGGTAGCTTGCAGTTTAATTTTAATAGATAAATACATTAATATATTTTTAATTCCTTCTAGCATTTGAAACAACAACAGGAAGGCCTTAGCCACTTGATTAGTATCATAAAAGATGACCTAGAAGATATAAAGTTGGTAGAACATGGATTGAATGAAACCATCCACATGAGAGGTGGTGTCTTTAGTTGACAGCTCACAAACCTATGTGAAGGGTTTGTGAAATGTTATCTTCATGCTACATCAGACCTTCCGTAAGAATGAAACTGACCACACGGAGGGAAAAAAGGAAAACAATCCTCTCCTGGCTTTTGAGGAGGTTACTGACAATTTTCAAATCTGAAATGACGTCCACTTCACAGCTCTTCAAAGATAGCCTTTGAAAGATTTATACCTGAAAGCTGTTCTTTACTGTAATAAAGTACATAAAAGTACATAATTACCAAAAATATGTACCATTGTACATTTTGATAACAGCATTGTTCTTAAAACTAATCAGTGTTTAATGATTATTCTCCATTGAGCCTGTACTCTGCTTTCCATAACAAGGAAATATGAAATACCTACTTGCACGTAACAAAATAAACTGTGTAACTACTTGGTTATTGGAGCTTTGTACTTCAGAATGTAAATGTACATCAGTTTTTATATATTTGTGAATTCATCTGTGGGAGGAGTAAAGGAAATCCAAGAGTATTTAATGATTAATGTGGTTTTCTTTTCATTCTGTAAAGATCTGAAAATATATTTTTATATTATTTTACTTATTTGGAATTTACAGAACACAAGTGATTAGGATATAACAAAATTACATTTTATCATTTTTGCCACTTTTTTGTTTTTTAGGTCTTTATTTCTAAAAAAAGATGAAAGTTTAAATAAATTGATTGTACTTTTATATAATTCTGTCTGATGCTTTATTTGGCTCTGAGAGAGTAACCATTAATGTCCTCATAAATATTAAATCATAATCACAATTCAAGGATTTCAGTCTTAAGTCTGATTTTTTCCTCCTATGGAGAATGTATCAATGCTGATGTATTTTGACTAGGTTATGGCAGATAAAACATTTTAAGTATCATCTAAAGAATTCCCTAGGGGCACCTGCGTGGCTCAGCGGTTGAACGTCTGCCTGTGGCTCGAGGCGTGATCCTTAGGGTCCTGGGATTGAGTCCTGCAGTGGGTTCCCCACAGGGAGCCTGCTTCTCCCTCTGCCTGTATGTGTCTCTGCCTCTCTTTCTGTGTCTCTTGAATTAATAGAATCTTAAAAAAAATAGTAATTCCCTAATGTATCATTAGTATTTGTAAACACTAGAGAATCTGTATTAGACATCATAATGTGAAAGTGATTTATCAGATTTTCTGACTACAAACTTCACACCTGGCCTGCATGTTGGCCCTGCCTATAATGCTTGAACTTTGCATTTCTTTGTAATGGTTTGGCTTGTAATGAGAGGTGTTTTGAGAAGCAGGCCTGTGAATCTTGCTGTTACGTTTACGAGGATGGTGAGGAGTATGATAAATATCTAGAGGTCATCCTTTCAGATAACCACTGAAGGAATTTGTTCAGTTGCAAACTGGGTAACAGTTGTGTAGGAGACTGGGAACTTTAAAAAATGACTGGTTCTAAGCTGCTAAAAGTTTGCAGCCACTTTTGCCAGGCTGATGGCATGCAAACTTGTTATATGCCCTCTTCCATCATACTTTCCTACTCAACTCACTGTTGCAATTCCTATAGTGCTGGAAGAGAAATTTCTTTTCTTGAATTTTCTCCTTGGCCCAGAAAACAGGCAACCTCACATCTTTCTCTTCTGTGTAGCAGAGTATAGGAGTTCCTGTCCCTTTGTACACCGTTTTACAGTGGAAAGAGTTGTTGGTCTGATGAGGATTTTTACTTGAGCCATATATGCCAGTGCACAGATTGCTAATACCATGTTCACTTCTCACAGCCTTTCATTTTTCATGCTCTGATACTTTTAGGATCTGCCTTTTAAAGACTGACACAGCCTCTTGTTTCAGTCCCACTGACTGCATGTGTTAAGGCAGGCCTATCAACTTTGTTCATGTAGCCGTTTTAGATAATTGGACCCGGTCAAACAATAGGTGTGACCAGAGCAAGTAAGTGGATGGGTCCGTGGATAGGTAGGAGGGGGAAGGACCCACTTTGGCCTGAGGATAAGGTTGTGTTCTCCAGCACTATTATAGAAGTTCTGTGTTTAATCTTCAACTAATTTATCTTCGATGGCTAACAGTTCTTGTGGATAGCCCACTCAAAATTCTGACATGAAGAATGGTAAACAGAATTGAAGCAACTAAGACTGCAGGTAAGATCGTGAGGATGCACCTACATATAATACTGACATATAACTGACATATAACTCTGACAATGACCTCAACACTAGCAGCACACCTCTTCCACGGCCAGAGATATAAAAAAACCACATTAGAAGGGCAGGGGAGGCAAAGATGCAGTTGAGAATCAAACACCTAGCATGATTACCCATAAGCAGGAGGGATAATTACAGGTCTTCCTTAGCAGGGGATCTGATCTCAAAAGGGCACCCCCACCCACCCTAGAGACATGCACTGGGAAGATGAGCTACCATAACACCTGGCTTTGAAAAATCCGCAGGATTCATAACCAGGAGACCTGGAGGGCAATAGGAAACTGAGACTCCTCTCTTAGAAGGGTCAGAGCACTGTATCAATGGGTTCAAGAGCAGCACAGAGGTAGCAGTTGAAAGTGTCTGGCTTATACATGAAGATTTATTGACTAATTTTAGGGTATGTTCTGGAGGGTATGGATCTGTGGACATTCTCTCCATGAACAGATCTGCTAGTGCCCCACATCAGGCTCCTTGCTCAGCAGGAAGTATACTTCTCCCTCTCCTCCCACCGCCCCCCCCACTCGTGCTCGCTTGTGCTGTCTTTCAAAAATAAATTTAAGGGAAGGGACAGAGAAATATCTTGCAAATGGATGCCACAAGAAAACCAGGGTAACAATATTTATATTGGACAAAACAGACTTTAAAACAAAGACTAACAAGAGACAAAGAAAGACACTGTAATAATAAAAGGGATGACCTAGTAAAAGGATATAACAATTTTAAATATTTATGCACCCAACATGAGAACAGTGCAGTACATAAAACAGTTAATAACTAACAAATAATAGTAATACTATAGTAGTAGGGGACATTAGCACCCCACTTACATGGATGGACAGATAGTCCAAAAAGAAAACCAACAAGGAAACAGTGACTTTGAATGACAAACTGAACCAGATGGACTTAATGTTATTCAGAACATTACTTCTTAAAACAGCAGAATACACATTCTTTGCAAGTACACATGGAACATTACAAAACATCATATATTAGGCCACAAAACAAGCTTCAGCAGTTAAAAAAAAATCAAACCCATACCATACATCTTTTCTGAGCACGATACTATGAAACTAGAAATCAACCACAAGAAAAAAACATTCAGTAAAGTACTTAAAACAATCCCATTTACATTTGCACCAAAAACAATAAAATAGGAATAAAATAACGAGGTAAGAGATGTGTATTCTGAAAACTATAAAACACTGATGAAAGAAATTCAAGATGATGCAAAGAAATGAAAACACATTCCAGGCTCATGGGTTGGAAAAACAAATATTGTTAAACAAATATTGTTAAAATCCTACACTACAGATTTTTTAAGATTTCATTTATCTATTCATGAGAGACACAGAGTGAGAGAGAGGCAGAGACACAGGCAGAGGGAGAAGCAGGCTCCACGCAGGAAGCCCAATGTGGGACTCGATTCCGGGACTCCAGGATCATGCCCTGGGCCGAAGGCAGGCACTAAACCACTGAGCCATGCAGGGGACCCCCCCCCAATACTACAGATTTAATGTAACTCCTATCTAAATACTTACAGCATTTTTTCACAGAGCTAAAACAATCCTAAAATTTGTATGGAAGCACAAAAGACTGAATAGTCAAAGCAATCTTGAAAAAAACCTGGAGGTATCACATTTCCCGATTTCAAGTCTCATTACAAAATGGTAATAATTGGGATCCCTGGGTGGCGCAGCGGTTTGGCGCTTGCCTTTGGCCCAGGGCGCGATCCTGGAGACCCGGGATCGAATCCCACGTCAGGCTCCCGGTGCATGGAACCTGCTTCTCCCTCTGCCTATGTCTCTGCCTCTCTCTCTCTATCTCTCTGTGACTATCATAAATAAATAAAAATTAAAAAAAAATTCAAAATGGTAATAATTAAAACAGTATGACATAAAAAGAGACATACAAGATCAATGGAAAAGAACAGAAAGTCCAGAAATCCACAATTACATGGTCAATTAATCTTCAACAAAGGATGAATGAATATGGGAAAGAGTCTCTTTGACAAACAGTGCTGGGAAAACTGGACAGCAACATGCAGAAGAATGAAACTCGACCACTTTTACCACACACAAAAATAAAATGGATTTAAGATCTAAATGTGAGACCTGAAACCATTAAAATGCTTGAAGAAAGCATCCACAATAATTACTCTCATATTGTATCGGCTGTAGCAACATTCTCTAAGTATATCTCCTGAGGCAAGGGAAAGAAAAGCAAACATAAACTATTAGAACTTCATCAAAATAAAAAACTTCTGCATGGGAAAGGAAACAATCAAACTAAAAGCCAACTTACTGAATGGGAGAAGATATCTGCAAATGATGCATCCAATAAATAGTGTATCCAAAATATATAAACAACCAATCCAACTCAATACCCAAAAAATCAACCTGATTAAAAAATGGGCAGAAGACATTGAACAGACATTTCTCTAAAGTTGACATCCAGATCATCAGCAGACACATGAAAAGATGTTCAACATCACTCATCATCAGGGAAATGCAAATCAAAACCACGATGAGATATCATTTCACACTTCAGAAAGGCTAAAATAAAAAACACAAGAAACAAGTGTTGATGAAGATATGGATAAAAAGGAACCCTCTTGTTCTGTTGGTGGGAATACAAATTGGTACAGCCATTGTAATAGTATGGAGGTTCCTGAAATTAAAAATAGAACTACCTTATGATTCAGAAATTGCACTACTGGGTGTTTACCTAAAGAATACAAAAACACTAATTCAAAGAGACATGTGCACCCCTATGTTTACTGCAGCATTATTTACAATGGCCAAATTATGGAAGCAGTATAAGTGTCCATCAATATATGACTGGATAAAGATGAGGTAGTATATACACACAATGGAATACTATTCAGCTGTGAGAATGAAATCTTGTCATTTGTAACATGGAAGGATCTATAGAGTATAATGCTAAGCAAAATAAGTTACTCAGAGAAAGACAAATACCATATGATCTCACTCATGTGAAATTTAAGAAACAAAACCAATGAACAAAGGAAAATTCAAAGAAAGACAAACCAAGAAACAGACTCTTAACTATAGAGAACAAATTGATGGTTACCAGAAGGGAGGTGGGTGCAAGATGGGGGAAATAGAGAATAGGGATTAAAGAGTACGCTTATGATGAAAAAAAAATGATTAAAATAGGTAATAAAATGAAGGCTGTAAGAGGGACAAGGGTACTAAATAATCATAAAGGAATCAATCCAACAAGAGGGTGTAACAATTATACACCCAACATGTAAGAACCTGAGTATATAAAGCAAATATTAACAGACCTAAAAAGGGAGAAACTGTCCCTGATACAATTAGTAAGGAGACTTTAACACACCACTTACATCAACAGAGAGATAATCCATACAGAAAATCAATAAGGAAACTGGCTTTGAACAACATGGATTTAACTGATATATACAGAACATTCCATCCAACAACAGAATACACATCCTTTTCAAGTGCACAGGAAACATTTTCCATAAAATATCATGTGTTAGATCACAAAACAAGTCTCAATAAATTTAAGGTGACTGAAATCATATTAGTATCTTTTCCAACCATAACATTATGAA